AATGCACATGCAGAGCAGCCAACACCCGACCAACAGCCGACACCAGGGAGCCCAGACACCCAAGAATGGTACCACAACTGGTGGACGGAATGGGACTGGCAGGGCACACAGACAGAGCAGCAGACGTGGCAGGAGCAGCACCAGACACAGCAGCAGCCGTGGACCACTCACCAAGAGCGGACAGACACACAAGCCCCTGCACAGGAGGACGCTTCAACGCTGCAGGCACCCGCCACAGGTAGCCAGCAAACACAACCCACCAACTGGTGGTGGAACTGGGCAAATGGCCGCGCATGGCACAGCACCACAGCAGAGAGCAACGATGACGCCGAGGCCTCCAGCACCACCACCTCCACCTCCACCACCACCACCCTCGTCTCCACCGCCCCTACCACCAGCACCATCACCACAACCACACCCATTGACACAACCCACACCGACGAGCCAACGACAGACGCGGGGGGTGACCACCTAAGCCTGGTGCAGCAACTGAACAGCCGGAAGCCCCGGCTTCCACCCACAGCCAACAAACGAGCGGCACAAAAAGCAACTGAACCGAGGGGGTCGAACAAGCGGAAAACACCCACCAGCACAGGCAAGAGGAAAGCCCGGCAATCAGAAGCGAAGGGGGCAGAGAGAGGAGCCGACACGCCAACGCCGACACCCACACAAGACACAGCAGACATGACCCCCAAGGAAAGAATACGGTACCACATCACCATGGCACTGGCGGACATCAACCCCAGCAACGGCACAGACGCGGCAGCCCACCTACATGCATGCCTGACGGACCTCGCAGCCACCACTGACCACCTCACCACCCCAGCAGGGGGAGCGCAACCACCGCCGACTGCCACGGACGGTGCCGGGCAGAACGCAAACAAGACCCGGCGCCCAGAGGAGCAAGCCCACGCACCGCCCCCACACGAAGTCCCACAAGCACCAGAGCGGACGAACAAGGGGCCAGCCACGCCCAGCAAGGCCAGTGCCCCCAAAACAGAGCAATAGAATGGGAGGAGGCGGCAAAGCTCCTAAACAACCTTTTGGGGACACACACAAATATCCCCACCAGCCAAATGACCCACACGCTGGCCGTCATCAAAGAGCTCATGATCAGGGGCACCAGACGCATGAACCAGGTCCTGCGGGTAAATGACTGGCAAACATGGGGGGGAGGGGAAGCAGCGGCGGAGGCAAGCCTGGAGCAAATCACGCACCTCCTCGGACAGATGAACCAGGCCAGCGAGGGGGCATCCAATGAAGAGAAGAGGAGCAGGCAATCCCAACACCACATCCAGCAACTACTCCGAGAAACCCTCACACTCACACAACAAGCCGCCGAAGCACATGAGGTGGTTATCGAGGCTCCACTGTGGTCCCAACCACCACAACCACCACCGCTGCCACCACCAACACAACACCAACCACAGCAGCAGCAACCCGCAGCAACCACGGCAGCAGCAGCAGCAGCAGAAGCAGCAGCAGAAGAAGAAAGACAAAGGGGAAGCCCCCAACAACACCAGGCCCACCCGGCGGATGTTATAGGCCTGGCGGCAGGTGCACAGGAGAGCCACGGGGGCAGAGAACTGACTGGAGGAGGGCCGACACACATTATCAGAGCCAAAAACATCCTTACACAACTCATACCCTTCCTAGTCCAGGAGGAGGCGCGCCTGGCGGCACAAGCAGCAAATGCATTGGATGAATGGCTTGCAGAAAACTGGGGAGAACCAATCACACTCCTCGACACACAACACGAGGGAGGAAGGCCTTCCCCCAGGGCGCACCCCGAGGAAGAGGCGGAACCAAACACGCCTGACACCGTACCCTGGGCACCACCATCACCCACACACCCACAGGCACCCACATACCCAACGACACGGCACCACACGGCACATCCCCTGAGTCCATACCCACCACCACAACCACAACAACCAGAGACGGAGGACAGAGAGGTTAGGGAGGAATATTCCTCATGTGGGGGGCCGCAGAACTCGGAGGAAAACACACCAAGAAGAAGAAGGGCGGGGGGGGAGATAGACCTACATCGACATGATCGCCGACTACCCGTCCGACGAAGCTGGCGAATGCGAAAAGGGTATGAACCACGACGTCGAGACGGAGCACTACCTGAAGGGGGCAGCGACAACGACTACGATAGCAGGAGAAGGAGAACACATGACGGGGCTAGCAGCGACTGAGTTTTCGATGGGTGCACAGAAGCGGGGGAAGACAAAGTTGAAGTCATTTGTTGACTAGGGGGTATTACCGTGTGCTTCCCTGGTGTTGGCGTTGAAGTCGGAACCCCAACCCGTCAAAATCGCTTTTCCAGAGGCACAGTGGGGGGAGTCTTCTGGCAGAACCCCAACCTCTGAAGGGCCAAATGTGCCGGGCACCCGCTCAAAACGAGAAGGGGGCCATCGCAGACAGGACCAGGACATTCACGCGCCCCTGGGGGCGGCCTCCCTTCGGGGGGGTCATGCGTGGGGGAGAGAGAGAGAGAGAGAGAGAGAGAGAGAGAGAGAGAGAGAGAGAGAGAAACCAATATGCGTATGTACCCAGCCGCGCCCAAGTAAGGACTGCCATGGTCCTGATCGACGCCGTGCTGCGGCAGCGAGCGCGGATGGCGGCGCCCTGCAAAACCCTCGGTGAGCTCGGCCAGTGAACCGTGGTTGGCAAGAAGAGCGTTTGGGGTTTGTTCGGGGGGTACCTTGAGGTAGTTTGTATCTCATGATACCTTGGTTACCCTTGGGATAGTTTGTATCTCATTGGGCATCTTTAAGTGGATGTTCCTAAGGAAAAGTTTTCTGATGTTGAGGCGGTTTAAGCCCAAATAAACACACTCAGCGTCTCCGGTCGGCAGCTTTCAGCAGGGCTGCTGGATGGGGGGATGCCTGAAGAAACAAGCTACGCTTAGTAGGGTTGACTCTAACGAAGGGAGAGCTGTCCGCACCACAAGCAAAAGCCTTACATGAATTTCTCATGTGGGCTATTGTGACAGATCTGGGTCGTTTTCGTATGTCCATATGTGGGCTGTTGGTGAGGCGACTCCCAGCAACAACACCCGGCTTATACCCTTGCGTTTAACATACCGTTCCGCATTCTCTACCTCTTGCCAGTCCGACATGTTGTTCGGCGGTTGACGGTAGCCGGAGCCCTGCACCCCGAAGCACCCACTCCACACTGCAAAGGCCACCAAAGGGCTCAGGAACGCGCACCCAAAAGGGCCTTAAGCAGCCCCGAAGCCCGACGAAGACCTCCCGTGCCAAGGCGAGGGCAAGGCGACCAAGGCTTTGGCTGCCAGGGCCTCGGGGCTTTACATGCAGGTTGAAGTTGAAGGGTTGAAAACTTCAGTGTGCTACAGTCCTGTGTTCAAGAATTTGCGCACGAATCAGGCGGAGCCCCCTGCGAAAGTGGCAAAGAGCGGCTATTGACCTTGGCCGGCCACTCATGCTAGTCTTCTCAAGAAGTCTGCCGTCGCTATAGGATCATGCTGTATGCTCTTTGCTAGTTGAAAAGACCAGATGAAGGTTCATGGTAGTCCGCTCTTCTCTGCCCAAGGACGGCTGCGTTGTAGAGATCTGCTGTCACGATAAGATCTCGCTTTATGCTCTTGAGCATCTGCTGCCACGGAGGCATGCTTGCGGGCTGCTCTAAATCAGGCCCCGGGGTGAGAAGCTCAGAGCCGTTCGAGCCTAGGCCGGCCGCACACATGCCCACGGTGTCGGCGGAGCTGCCGAGCCGAACGGTGCCCAGTGACCCTGCAATGCGATGGCAGGCAAACTTAGGAACTGATAGGGCAGGGTTGTTCCATCATCTTACCGGCACATAGCTTTCCTCAGGACCGTTGACGTGGCTATGGTTGGTAGACTCGGGCTGACAATTTTCAAATGTGCAAGGAAGAGATAGATTAGAGCATGAAAGGGATGAGAGATGTTTGGCGCCTGCCAAGGTTCCATGGTCAGCATACTATTGTGCCAACATTCGTGAAGGTTGGAAGGGTTTAAGCCATTCTGGGTCCAGGGGCGGCGCAGGGAAAGGGTGACGCCAGGTTTTGCAAAGGCCACCGAATTGAAGGTTGCCGATGCCCACAGTCGTGCCATTCAGCCGCCGGGCCGTGGCCCGGGGCTGTGACATGCTGGGTGCCTCTTCCACGCGCGCCCTTTGAGTTGCAAACCCTAGTCGAAACCCGATGCCATAAACCCCAAACCCACTTGCCTTTACCCCCCGACCTTAAATTAAAAACCCTCGACTGCGGTCTTTCAAGCCTCGCGTCCAGCGCAGCTTGCGGGGCGCCAGATGAGAACCCTCGCGCGCTTCCATGTGAAGAGCATGGCAGTGGGAGAAGCCTCAGCATGCTGCTCTTGAAAATCTTGAGGCAAGCTGTTCATGGAGTGCTAGCAAGGAAGCGATGACCCTGTCGCCTTCATAAATAAGGTAGCCCACTCGTGTTTTTGAGGTTCGGCGAACATTGCTCCTTGAAGTTCTCATGAAGCCACGGAAGCTTGCAGGTTTTCCGCTCAATGGTGTGAGCTGTTGTGCGAAAAAGAGGTGCCTGCAACAAGCGGACGTTGTCCCAAAATGGTCGGATCACGCCAAGAAATAATGAGGGGCCATCAAGGAAGGGCCGTAGTATGACAGGGTGTCCAAAACAGGGGCCGTAGTGTAGAGAACTGCTCGTATCAAAACGTAGCTGGGGTGGTTTCGGGGTTGCCCATGCGGCCCAAATAAGGCTGGCTTCTGGGTTTGTTGAGGTCCGCACAAGGTTTACTTCCCGATTCGTTAGGATTGGGTGACAAAGGATCCCATCGTTGCGGTGCCTTGTAGCTTCTCTCTTGGAATCCGGAGCCCTGAGCGCTCAACCCACAAAACTCCCAGAATCCTCTACCCTTCCCCCGGCAGCCCTCTAACCCACCGAACCCTACAGCAAACCCGAAACAACCTTAAGCCCCTAAAAACCCTAAGCCCAAAAACAAACCCTATCCTAAACCCAAACCCAGGCTCAACCAGCTGGGCGTTCTTCGCGGCTTCACATACAGGCGAGGCTCAGGTTCTCTTGCGCTCGGGTTTAGGGTTTGGAGTTTAGGGTTTAGCGTAAGGTTCCGGAACTGGCTAGACTTCAGACCACTGGCAAAAGGGTTCAGTGTAAGAAGAGAGCCCTGAATTCAAACAAAGGGTTTGTGTGTGTGTGTGTGGCTGGGGCTCTTGAAAAGCTACATTTACAGCCCATGAGCTTGGAACCCCCCCTCCCAAAAAATCCCAAAAAACCATAAAGCAGATGCAGAGGTTGGCGCGGTCTCGGCTCGATGCCGTGCTGAGGGCCGAGGCCGTCAAGGGTTGAGGCTTGAGCCTTGAGGAGCCTCAATCGGAGCCAATTGTTATCTGTGTAGGATCCCTACACAGTGATAGAATGGTGTTGTAAACCGCACCAAAATGACCTGAAACATGTGGGCTCGGGGACTCTGGACAATGATTCCGAGCGTGGAGTGTCATCTAGGCCCTGCCAGGCAGGCGACAAGACTGCTAACGGAAGCGGGCGGAGGGGCAGGGGTCCATGATTCCTCCAACCTAAAGCCTACTTTCACACCCTAAACCGTGTGGTTGTTGTCGCACATGCTTGCAGGGATGATGGCACTGATGCACAATCCTACACCCCTTCGCACACAAGCAAACTAACCCTTCACACTGTGCAAAACTACTCACAAACCCAGACTCTGAAAGATAGAGCTGTTCGAGGTGAAGGCCGGTGTCGAAAGTGGTGAGGCGCCCCCGCGAGGGTGCCAGGTTTTTGGCCATTGTGAGGTTTGCGGTTGAGAGTTGTCGGTTTGGGGTTTTTTAGGGTTTCAGGTTGGTTACGGAGCAGTTTCCGGAGGCGTTGGACATTCAGGCTATGGTGCCTGTCAAGTCACCGGTTCCCACCTTGCCACCCCAGTAAGAGCTCCCAAGGGTTCGCCAACAACAACCCACACGCAGCAGTTGCGCAAGTCTCTGGCCCTCCCCAAGCCCGAAAGTTGGGACACACGCTTGAAGCCATCGAAGCAGTCGATACATAATTGGCCCCATCGCACTTACCTGCAATGCGGGCGTACTTTCCAGCCAGGCGAGCGGCAACAAAAAACCCTAAACAAGAGGAAGAACGCCCGTTTAGCCGCAGGTCAAAGCCGGGAGCGTTCCTGGCCTGGATCCCCACACGATGCTCATTCAGGCAGGGTTTGGGGTTTGGGGTTTAGGGTTAGGGTGGTTAGGGTCTAGGGTGCTTTAGGGTCTAGGGTTAGACCCTTGCAGCCCAGAACGCCTATAAACTGTAAGCCGTTAAAAAAGAAGCTGTCAGGTGGAAGACTCCGCAGCCTGCAGCCTCAGCTTTATCTTTGGGCTTGTTCCCTTCAGGCATTCCGGCCCGCACACTCTTTGCCAGAGATGTGCGACAAATCACAGTTCACGTCTGAGGGTCGATGTAGGGAATTTCTGGTGGGGAGTTTGGGGTGCGGAATGCAAGGCCCCACAAGGTTTCTTGAGACAGCTGCAGCGTTGCAGATTCTTGGGATGCAAGAGTTTGGCATTTCCCCTTTATCGGGCTCCCGCAGCTGGGTACAAAAAGCCAATCCCTTTTGCGGGCTTCCTAGGATATGAACGGTACCTGAACATGGACCGCCACTGAATAGGTGGATGCAGGGCCTCGTGCATTCATTCCCTAAACCCGAAATCGAAATCCCCAAATTTCGAGTGAGAGTTGAAACCACTGAACCCTGAGCCCCGGGACCCAGCTGTTGAAAATCCCCTGAAAGCTAGCAGGCAGCACGCGCACGCGCTCACAGACACACCTTTCCTGTAGTGCCCTTCTTCCCTTTTTACCGTGCGGTTCCCTCAGAAAACCCCACAACAAAGGGCCCCTTTTGTGCTGTGGGTTGCAGGCGCCTAGTAGGAGTGGGGTTTTTGGCATTCTGCCCTGAAACCAAAGCTCCGGGCCAAGGCGGAGCTGTGGCAGAAGGACTCTTTGGCTTGGGGTTTCGTTCACTTTGAGGGTCCCTGAAAGGTCGTGGACAGCCCCCACGAAGACACACACAGGCGGGTGGATGCGGGTGGCACCAATAACCACGAAGTTTTCCCAAACCTCTCCTCAAGCCCACAAGCCATAGGGCTGGGAGGTTTGAAGGCCTGAGGGAATCTGCGGGGCTTAGGCGTTTAGAGTACAGCGGGAGTGTAGATGTGGATTGCACAAGCCCGGTTTTAATTCCCTGTTAAGGGTTTGAAAGATTCGCGTTCCGGCATACGGGAAACAAGCAAAAAGGGTTTCAGCTGCAGGAGAGCCAAGCCAGGGACAGCTTCCAGAGTCAGCTTTCGAAGGCGGCGGCTTCTGTGGGTCTGAGGTTTCCTGAACAGCTGCCAAAGCCCCACCTCAAGAAGGATTGAGATTCCCTCTCAAAATTGGGGTGTGAAGATGTGCCGGGGCCTGGAATGTTCCGAGTTTCAGCTCTTTGTGGGTTTGAGGGGATTCCGGACAGGCTTCAGAGGTCCGTGTTATAAAAAAAGCTCTTAGGCTGCTTGGGGAAGAGGCTCACTCGCTCAATGGTAAGGGCAGCTAGTGCTGTTAACCGAAGTAAGGTACGCACGGGGTTTGCGGATGAGTGTTTTGGTCTCGGTCTCAGGGCCATCCTATCTCAGCCTGAGGCATCGATCTGAGGCCCGCACCCCCTATCCATGGTCCCATGTTTTCGTGGCGCAGCGAGCCCTCCGTCCAGCCCTTATACCCCAAACCACTTCAAACCCGAACCCTAAAGCCCATGAAGTGCGAAGCCCTGAGCCCGAAGAGGTCTACCACGGCTCTGGGTCCTTCACGTTTACAGAGGCTGTGTTTGGGTGATTCAGTTTCGTTGGTTTTGGGTTGGGAGTACTAGACTCGTTAGAGCCTGTGATGTCGGGGGTCTGATGGGGGGTCAGCTTGGAACACCAAACACTAAACTCTAAGCAGGCAAGTGCCACACGTCCAACATGAATACCGTTTCAGGTATTCTGCACATGAAGGCTGGGCTGAAAGAGCACACCACCCAACAACGTCCTGAGCAGAACATAGGCACTAGAGAATAGGCTGCTGTGAGCCTTCTCCAACCATCCCAAGCCACAGCCTTGTTTGCCTTGTGCAAGTGTGAGCATCGAAACGACAAGATCGTCAATCCCAACCCCTTTGCCACCCTCCTTGGCACCTCGCATAGTGCTTGCGATCATCTGGGTACCCAGTTGTATGGCCTCCTGTACAAATTACCCAGCAAGCTCAAACCCAAAAAACTTGTTGCATCGGAGCATTGACTACTCCTGTGCGCGCGTGAACGGCGAAACGTTTTCACCAGTCAAGCTGCGAGGACGAGCTCCTGGGTGTCCCAGAGAAGCTGAGGGCCGGCTGGGCGAGGCTCAAGGGTGTCAATTTCAATCTAGGTTGACTGAAGCTGGGATTTCGCGGGATTTTTGGGCGTGTGAGAGAACAACAACCCATTGGGAACCAGCCTGAGCTTCGAGAGCTTCGTGAGCAGGGGCTTAGGTTTTTGCGGGCAGTGTGGCTGCAGTGTGTTGCAGCGCGTCAGGCCCTGAGGCCTGATAATCTCACTCCCCTTGTCAGCTGCAAGCCTTAGCCTTAGCGGCCAAGAGCCAAGCCTCAGATAAACAGCTTATGTTCACACATCACTGCTGGGAGGCGCGGCAAGTACAAGGTCCCAATCGGCCGAGATGCGCGCAGCCCAGGTGAGAGAGAGTGCTGCGATTGAGGCTGGGGAGCTTCTGAGATGTACTTGGAGCTTCTTATGTGTAGGCTGATGATGCGGAGTGTGATGGTCTTGCTTCCGAGGACGGGTTGTAGTGCCATCATGAGCCGCGCTTGCACAGAGTATGGAGGGATCAGGGGTGCATATGGGTTTTACGTGTTATCCTTCAGATTCAGAGCGGTAGAATCTCATGCAAGCTTTGTTTGTTTTGTTTGTTTGTTTGCTTGTTAGTTGCTGAGCTCAGGGGGCTGGCTTCCCTCTAGCCGGATCCTAACAAGGTGGAAGTTCCTGCGCTTGGGTAGGGAAGACGCCCCAAATTCGGCTGACCGGGATCCTGACAAGGTGGAAGTTTGTTTTATGGAGTTCTAGGGGGCCCCTGAGGCCCTCCAGTGCGTGGTCGCGCACTGTGCGGCCGCCGGCCCTCGCCGCAAGCTCTTCGAGGTGCACGACCGGCGACGAGGGTTCTTAGGATTAACTTAGGATTCTTAGAGAATCCGAAACCTGCCACCCTGAAAAAGGGGTGGAGTGCCTGAAGTCAGGGTTGAAGCTCAGAGGATCTTGGGGTTTCGGACTGATTCGTTCGTTCGGGCAATGCGTGCTCTGTGAACGCATGCTATGGCACCGCCCCGCCTCGATTTGGCGACAGCCTCGTTCCGGACATTGGCGTAAAATCGTGGCGAAGGCGGACCTCTTGTGGCCCTCCCCCCTTGCACCCAGTGCCCGGCTTCGAGCTCCAAGGGCGATGGGTCGGTTTATGTAGCGCAGATCAGCTTAAGCTAAGGCGCTAGCCCGAAGGCCCACAAGCTGCAGGTGCTATGCCCGAAACCCCTTGTTCTAAACTTGAAGCAAAGTCCCTAACGTAAGCCAGCCTGAGCCCAAAGCTTACATGCCGAGCCGCTGTGCCAGGCCTACTACCAGCAGGCCGGTTCCGGGTTACATGAGGCAGCTCTGGAGCTACTTCGTGTCCGTCTGGAGCTAAGCGGTGTGGGGCAGAAGGTCTCGGGCTCGTGGAACATCATAGCATTTTCCCAACCTCCTGAGAGTAGAGATGGGGCTGCGGAGGGACCGGAAGGTCCTTTTGACGCGTGTTTTCGTCCTGTCTGTTATCGAGTTCTTTCCTGCTGTGCTTGGCATAGTACCACAGCGCAGTGTTTTGTGGGGTTGTCGTTTGGGGATGGGTTCCCTCTCGCTCCTAGGGAGAAGGGGGGGGATGCCTCTTCCCTGCGCTGAGGCCAGTCCCTTGCCAAACGGCACGCTCCTCAGTTTTTCTCACCTTGGGGTTGCATGCTTGCTTGAAGGATCACGGGTAGTTTTTGTCAGCAGACGAACGTTGTGTCTGTAAAAAGATAGACACTCGCACTGTGAATTTTGGAACAGCCCCCCCAGGCTCTTATTTCGTGAGCGGTCAAACTGGAAGCTTCTTTGGGCATCCCTAGCTGTAGAAGTTAGCTTTCTTTTGCATAGAAACCCACGCTGCAGCGCAGTTCGCCGAGCTGAGCGACCAAAAGTCTGTAGGACCTCCGGTTGAGGCCTCCAGTCTAGCGTGTTCAGGGCCCCTGGGACCTGGGTGCAGAAAGTCCTTGGCCTTGGCTAGGACGCTTTTTTAGGGGGCTTGAGTGTTTTCGGGCTTCAGGGCTTTAGTGGACATGCCTCCATTGCTGCAGCGATAGCAAGCAAGGAGGCAGAGGGCGTCCTCCAAACCAGCCATGGCCCCATAGTACAACCTGCAAGCCTTGCAAACCACAAGCCCAACCACACATTGCCCCAAACCCAGATTCCTCAACCCCTAAGCAAGCCACAAAACCCGAAGAAAAGGCCCTCAAAGCCCTAGGCCCTAGGCGGGTGGCAAAAAAAACTACAAAAAAGAAGAAGAAAAAGCACCCAAAACCCTAAACCCTACATCCCAGCCCCCTCCCCACAAATCGAAGAGCCCCGATGGCCATCATCGGCCCTGCGCCGCTGCTGCGCCACGACGCGAAGGGTGGCCAGGGCCCCAGGGGGGCTTTGGGGGGCCTTCAAGGGTGTTTAGGGGCATTTAGGGGCTCTTCGGGGCAAGCGCCAGGGTTTTGAGTGCAGGACTTAGGACCATGCAGCCCGAAGCCGGCACGAGCCGCAAGCCCCAGGCTTGGAGCTCCAGGAGGAAGGCTTGACGGTGCTGAGACGAGCTGCTCGGAAGCAGTCCGGTGTTTCTTTCTCCTGGGAAAGGGGGAGTTCTTCGAGACTGAAAAACTCAAGCCCTAGGTTGGAATCTTCATGAGAATCTTGAAAGACGGTCTTTAGCTGGAGGTTCACGGGTACTAGAAAGGCCTGGATGTATATATGCTTATATACTTGTATACATATATATATATATGTGTGTATTTATGCTTTTTTTATTAATATTAATATTTTGAAGAGGACCTTGTTCAGGAATAGTCTTCGGAAGGGGTCCCAAAGGGTCAACGTAGTACCCATGGACCCCACAGCAACCGAGCCAAGGTGGGCTCGCCTCTGCATGTGGCCTTTGCCATTGGGGGCTCGCGCTGCGGCAAGAGCACGGCCTGCAGCTGGCCTCTCATAGTCCGCTTGGGATTCAGACCTTCTTAAAAGGTTGAGCTGGGCTCGGGTTTGGGGTTTATGTAAGTGGGTTTTGGGGTTAGGGTGAACTAGCGCTTTAAGGCCTTTCCTTTTAGAGATCCTCAGACCCTCAACCCGCCCCCTTTGTCCCTTGAGCCGGCGCGTTCTTCACATCGCAGCGGGACCAAGCTCAGAACCTTCCACCCAACCTGCCTCTGGAGCTGTTCAGGGCTTAGGTGAGTTAGGCCCAGGCTAGGTGAAGGTTCTCAGTTCTGGGGCGCAGTTCACTCACACGTGAAAAGTAATTTAGGAAGCAGATGAGCCCCCACCCCATAGAATCTTTAGCGTAGATGTTGCAGGATTGGTGCACGAGGCAACTCCAGACCTGCATCTGGAACGCATCCGGCAATGCCCGACCTTTTCTAGGGCTGCACACCCTGCACCCTGCAAGCTAGTCAGTCGTCCCGAAATGTCACCCTGCAGATCCCTGCAGTGTGGCTTGTCTGCTTGGCGGGTGGCAAAAAAACAGCAATGCAGCAAACATTCGCACCAGCCTTGCCTCCATCTTGCCTTTGGCACTTTTTTGGACCCTCAGCCTTCTACGGCGAGCTACAAACATTCCTCTATGCGCGGGTCTCGCATGACAGCGGCGGTGTGGGCCTGCTCAAGCACCTAGAGTCCTAGAGTCTAGAGGGGCTCTGGGAAGAAGGTCACGATCCCTGTGAATGCCCTTGACAGAGTTCATGTCCCGCATTGTGCATGGGTAGTCGACCATAGTTGTGGATTGCCACAAATGCCTGACAGCACCAGGCAACGCTCTGCTCTTGGGTCCGGATGCGAGCGACCGGACGCCTTGGTGTTTGCATGCAGATTTCGCCTGATTTGTGCTCACAACTCTAAACCCTGTAAACCCTCAAGTGTGCAGCTTTAGGGGAGCTTGCCCTTGTCGAGGATCGATCTCTTGCAGTGTTTAATCGTGATGTTGGGTGGCGCGCATGGTCAGTCCCTCGACTCGCAGCGGAAGCAGAAACAAAAAGACCCTGAACGCTGGAGTTTCGCAAGGTGGCGTCCAGCGCTATCTCTTACGTAGCGGAGTGGAAGAGTTATAGGAACCTTGCCACCTCATTAATGCCATGACTCACCCTAGCGGGTGATTCAATTCCAGGTTTTGTCCACGAACCTTCAAGCAGGGTACTTGGGTTGTTACGACCTCCGAACCCATGTCTTGCAGGAGCTGTTTCGAGACAGGCAGCGCCTTTGACCCCGTCACGGTCGGCGTGGACGTGGCTTCTCTGAGGGTTTGGGTTTGGGATTCGGCTCCGGGATTTCAGGCTCCGGAACTTTTGGGCTTGGGGTTGCGTCGGGTGGGCTGATGAGGGAGAGATAGAAGTGAATAAATGTTTACTTCTGTCCATGACCTAATACTCATGTAGGCGAATTAGGCACTATGCGTTGCCGAGCGATGTACATGGGAGGGGCTGTCTTCGGAGAAGCCATCCGAAGAACCTCGAAGGACTCTAAAGCAACACCCTCAAAAACTGTTTGGCGCATCGAGTATAAGTCCTTTTACATGGGTATGACGTCTGGCCATTAAGCACTTTCAGGTTAGGGCATGAAATTGGCATATGATGGTGACTGATGATGAATGGAAGATAATATGCCATCGACGTCGACGAGGAGATCATAATACATGATGACGGTGATGGGTGAGATGATGATGTCGAGCGACTTTAATACCTTGTGCTCTTGCCGAATATCGTGCGTTGGTCAGACATGTATAGCATCTTGTTGTCTTTCAAGTTGACTGCCAAAGCACGCTTCAACCGCAGCGCGCTGGCTCAGAAGAGCTCTTTTGAGCGTCCGAGTAGAAAAGAGTCTTTTTGCCCCTCGCTGTATAGTCCCCTAACCTCGCTCTGCGTTCTGCTAATACTGGAAAGCCATAAGGGAAACCTAGGCGCCAGGGGAGGTGGAACCGGAGAGCATAAGGTGGCGACTGATAGACACCATAAGGGAAACCTAGGTGATATCAATCAATACGCTTGTGCACCCCTCAGGTCTTGCAAGCCTGAGTATCCTCTTGTACTCGCGATACAAGGGTGGCTCTCCGTTGGGAAAGGATTGGCCCCTGGACCCGACCCGTTGATAGGGATACTATCACCTGGACTACAACATCAACACCTACACCTGTTTATAGCGATTCTCCTTCCAGCCCTGAGCTAATACCTGTTGGCGCGGGCAACATTTCTTGAATAGTTTGTCTATTCCACCACCTCTTGCAGGTTAAGAGCCTTGAGACTCTCTGCGAGCCAATGGTGAAGGAGGCGGGCAAAGATGGTGGCGTGGAGACAGGTCTCCCGCTAGTACAGCTGCAAACTTCATGCTCTGCAGAAACACCGCTTGACATGCCGGACCAGGCAGGCAATGAGATCGGAGATTCCCTTCTTCCTGGCAAAACGGCTACAGACACACACGTGACAGAGACTCACGAGGCCTGTTTCCAAACACCTGCACGTGTGGAAGTGCAGCCCGACTTTCTGGCAGAGAGGGATGATGCTGCTCCACCTGCCACTGACGCGGGGGGTTGTTCCTCGCGGCTTCTTCCAGGCACTCGGGTGCGGATGAGGAGGGATGTTTGCGGATGGTTCGACCGTCGCAATGATTACTTCGTGGACAGTGGCTGGCAGGGATCAGTCCTCACAGCTGCTTTGCCCGAGTGGGACACTGACTGGTTCAGGCCAGATGTGCACTATGTATATGTGAAGTTTCGGCACCCTCCAGACGAACCTGAATCTGGACGATGGTGGGACACCCTTGATGGACAGTGCTACTACAAACCTAGGGGTGTCAAGTTGGCTGTGAAGGCAGCCGACGTGGAGATCCTGGAGTAGCTTGTCTGCGATTCCCCCCTAGTGATGGCCAGATGAGGAGCGGCGACATTCGATGTGTCGTTGCTCGCATTCGCAGCTCGCAAGGCGGGGGGTGTTGAATGTAGCCTGTTGGGGATGTAAAGGGTCGTGGGTTTGCGCGGCCTCTCTGGATTTCGGGTTGTGCCCCTGTCGTTTCTGCTGAGACGGTCATGGTAGGCACAGCCCTTGCCAGGTAGCACAGCCTGCGTAGTCCGCTTAAAGCACCAAGGGTGCACGCCATGAGATATGAAGGGATGGATGTGGCAAGAGCAAAAAGGGCTCTGCGCCAAGCACGGCGTCAGGCTCAGCTTGCTGCAAGGTCTTCAGTTGCTTTCGAGGTTCAGTTTCTCAGGCATCAAGTTTGGCAGCTTCAGTGGGAGAATTGTGAGCTGCACAGGCAGCTTGAACATGTTGAATGTAGCCTGTTGGGGATGTAAAGGGTCGTGGGTTTGCGCGGCCTCTCTGGATTTCGGGTTGTGCCCCTGTCGTTTCTGCTGAGACGGTCATGGTAGGCACAGCCCTTGCCAGGTAGCACAGCCTGCGTAGTCCGCTTAAAGCACCAAGGGTGCACGCCATGAGATATGAAGGGATGGATGTGGCAAGAGCAAAAAGGGCTCTGCGCCAAGCACGGCGTCAGGCTCAGCTTGCTGCAAGGTCTTCAGTTGCTTTCGAGGTTCAGTTTCTCAGGCATCAAGTTTGGCAGCTTCAGTGGGAGAATTGTGAGCTGCACAGGCAGCTTGAACAGGTTAAGAGCCTTGATACTCAGGACGGACCTGCAGCAGCAGCCCGGAGCGGTGCCACTGGAACTGCAGATCACACAGGAGCCAGGACGTCCGTCGAGTGCGCCAGCAGGCGGGACGGGAATCAAGAGAATAACGACCAGGAAACAAGGGGTAGAACTGCGCAGCGCGGGGGCCCCAGAGAAGATGAAGAGAAGACCCGGAGTCCACCTGTGAAAAAGGCGACAGAAGAAGAGATCAGCAGAGTCGGAGCGGTCGAACAATACGCCAAGGGCAAGGACAGTCGACCGTCAGATATCACGGTAGGTGGAGAACCACGTCTACGCGCGACCGAATTTCAGAAGAACCTAGAGCCCAAGAGGGTGATGGAATACATGGGTTTCAGCGGACGACCATTGGAAGGGTTAGCCGCCAGTCATATGAGGCCGAATGAAAGGAGTAATATTGCCTCGTCTGAGGAGGCTCAGCAGCGGGTTATGGATGAAAGCTTCAAGTTCACTAGAGGCTCGAGAAACGAGATCTTTGAGGCCACCCCGCTCATAATGGTGGAGAGGAATGCGAGAATAGTAATGAAGCAGAATACCGCAGGAATGGCAGCGGCGAATCGGCAGATTCTGTTGCGAGGGTACACCGCATCGAGCGAAGATGTAGGTCCGGGCCGGTGGGGAGACTTCGTGGACTTCACCATTGACAACAATGGCGATAAGGTGAAGCTGGAAAGGGGAGTCATAAAGGAGATTCCTCCTATCGTAGAAGCCACCGAGGTGATTACGCGATACCCCGATCTCCATGTGGCGTTCAACAAGATAATATCTCCATTCGCAGAGCAATTGAGAGAGGCGATGGAATATGACTCAGTTAAGACTGCTGAGAATCTCGTTGTGCCATGGACAGGAGCTTCTATGCGTGAATTAGGGATTGACTCAGATATCAAGAGGACAGGCGTGGCGTATCCAAATATGGTGTATGAGGAGATGGCGAGACTGGTGGCAGAGATTGCGGCATGGGGCAGCGAAGAATACCCCAATGACCTTAGAGAGAGATGCCAGTACAGGAATAAGGTCAAGACACAGATGATGGACGCTGCCAAAATGCATTCCCCGACATTGTTCGAGAACAAAACGATGTATGAAGAATACGCAGGCTCGAGAATACCATGGGATGTTGTGAGGACGGAACTGGAGGCACGGTCAACATATCCCATGAGACCAAACGACGAATTCCGAGTCGCGTATTTGGCGCAAAAGTATGGGGTGGAAGTTGAAGGAAAAGTTGGGAAAGGGAGTGACGATCAACTGCGAATATCGGAGGTCTATGGCGTTAGACCGACGAGCGAAATGAGACGCCCCAAAGACAAGGAGATAATATCGCAGCTTGCCGGGTCGCCGACCGACGAGAAGCTGTGGATGAAGGTAGCTCCAGGTAGCCTTCCGGAAACTGCATACATGGTGATGTCGGATGAGTTCTGGGCATTCTGTGCGAGAAGAGGAACCATATACCCTGAGGCGGGACATTTTAATATTGTTCTTGACATTTGGCATAGGGATTCTGGGGAGAACGTGCTCAATGCATATGACATAGCGATGATACCGCACTGGACCAAATACAGCGCAGAACCAAAGCCGCTGAAGGACATACCACAGATAGTTTACGAGCACGAGAAGACACCGCAGTGGCTGACCGACGACCTCAGGCAGGCTGCATACCGAGGAAGAAAGATTGGAATAGCCGTTGACGTGAGGGCTTACGCACTGATGGGAGGTGAGGTATTCCTCACTAGGCGAGGGAGGCTCACTGTTACTACACCCCTGGTGCAGGCGTTTTGGAAAGCGGTGTGGTTTGAGGAGACGTTTACCGCCATATACATGAGGGAGTTCGAGATCGACGTCCCACCGAGAATGAGTCAGGATGAAGAATACGAGCCAACTTTGAATAAGATCATGCAGGACTTGGTGCGAGTAGGATGGGATCGGGCGACGAGATACGAGGAAGTGGTTAATATTCTGAAGCCGGAGCTGACCGCATGCCCGTGTTGCTTAGTGAATACCACAAAGGGAGTGACGTTCTGTGTAGAGTGCGCGAAGCCAATACCATCGTTCATCGACTACTACCGAGGGATGATGTTCTCCCACGAGACGGGGATGCCAATACAGGGACGGAAGATGGGGTGGAAAGTACATATGGAGCGGAAGATCAGGGACCTGCACAAGGATGTCAAGTGGAGGCTGGTGACAGATAGGCTCGATATCATGGACAAGAAGGCGGTAGCCGGAATAATAGCGAGCGCCAATCCTGCGGAGGACTGGTGGCTGGCATTCAGAATAGGGGCCAGTCCGGAGGCCGAGATAATAGTCTCGCAGCCAGGTGTGTACCGGCTTGAGTTGGAAGACGCCGCAACGCATGCGATGATCCTCGATATCGAACTTGCACGGGCGATTATGGACGTGATGAACTATAGAGATAGAGCAATTGACGAGGCGACGGGAGGAGATGTTACGTCATTCAAGGTGATGTACTCCCACCCTATCATGACGTCGATCGCAGCGGCGAGAATGAGATTCATAAAATACCCGGCAGGATGTCTGAGAAGGATAGGCCACTACCTCAGCTTGCAGGTGCTAGCGAGCGTGAGTGGGGGGTTGAACAATGAACCGTGGAAGAAATACCCAGGTGCCGAGGCAGTGAAGAAGTTTCTCCAAGAACAGATACAGGGAACCCTTGAGATCCAAAAGGAAGTGCAGCAGCAAATGAAGGATCCCGAAGATGAATACCGGAGGAAGTTCTTCAGGCCGAGATACAAGGACAGAACGTCTCTGCCTGTGCAGCCTGACATACAGGATTGCAGGAGTACGATCGCAGCGATCAAGAATACGCCAGGTATGAGAATGGGCTTTAATAGGCCAAATGAGATTGCTGTTGGACATCTGACGAGCAGAGCGAGGAGGCAGGGAGTAGCGAAAATACATCCTGATAGCGTGGCGAGGGTACCCATGGGTGGGATGACCCTGGGGTGGTCAGCAGAAGGACCCAGCGGTGCGAAGCGCGTTACACCGAATATGAGATGGGCGAATGATAACGCAGGGTACGAATATCCGGTCACAGGTATGAATACCATCGGAGATGATCCAAGTGATATGCTTCTCAGGCACAAGATCCACATCTCAAGGAGCTCCAGTAGGGAGGGAAGGGAACCTGTGGACGAAGGAGGAAGTCTGTGGATCAAGAAGGAAGATGACGAGGAGAAGGTGCACGTGTTCGATAATACTGCGGACGTGGATGAAATAGGAGACAATGCCAACGCATCGGAAGCATGCGAGGATGTTCCCGGAACACGATCCCGAACCCCAGTAGAAGAAACGGATAAGGCGAGCGAGTCCGGGGTCAGTGAGGGAAGGAGTGGCAGACAGAGGCCGAGGCAGGGGAAGGATGTGCCGAGGGTGCCCTCCGCGTTCGTGAGGAGTGACGACGCCAAGAGTCCGTATATTCATAATTTGTTGAAGGAGAAGGACGGGGGTGAGACGTCGGGAGTGGAAGAAGAAGTCACATATACAGGAAAGGGCGGAGCAGGGTCCAGACCTACGACAACCGCAATAAGGAGTGCCGCCACTTCATCAGCAAGCGAAGCCCCGCGATCTGATACCAGGAGAGGCCCTACGGCGAAGAGCGGAGGAAGAGGGCAAGAATGGAAGGTGAAGGGCGAAAAGCCAAAGGACGTGAAGAAAGAATACTGAAGAAGGAATAATAACGATGAGTGGAGGCAAGAATAGATGATTGAAAAAGGGGCCTAATACTTGCGCGTTCCCACAAAAGCTGGGTTCGCTGCGCATGGGAATGCCATGGGAGGCGAAAAGCGGCTGCTGCAAATAATAATGGACGTGCTCGACTATCTCATGGTGAAGTTCGGACTGAGAAGTGTGTGGAATACTCCAGTGAGATGAGGATATGGATAGAGGATGAAGGAGAAATCGCGATGCGAGAGGCAAAAGAGCAGGGGCATGGCTGATCACCAGTAAGGCCCAACAGTGTCAGAAAGGCTTCATCACGAAAGAAGGGGAGGCTTGGCTGATCACCAATAAGTCCTCATGGCCTGGGAGGATTACCAAAGAAAGCATCCGAGAAGAAGGGCATGGCTGGCCACCAGTAAGACCGAAAGAGGAAAGGACTACACCAACGGCGTCGTGTTCTGACATAAATGAGCAGATGAGAGAGGTGTACAGAGATAATATTCGGAGGACCGTGGATAATATATTTTCCTGACAAGTTATAATATTTAATGCATATATGGCCGATATCCAGAGATGGATGGATGATCGCGCCAATGCGTTGAATTGGTTGGTTCGTGGAGGCCGTGTTGCTTCCCGGGGCATGATATTGCGAGATCCCTTAATTGGGGGTGGAGGCGGGTCTGCACGGCTCCGAAGGAGCTGGGACCTCATAATACTTGCCCCTCGCTGTGTGGCGTTTGGGCTGCAAGCGAACCGCGAGTTTCAACGCACAATTCAACGCTCTTGATGTACGCTAATCGCTCCCATAACGGGGGGTGTTTGGCGCATCGAGTATAAGTCCTTTTACATGGGTATGACGTCTGGCCATTAAGCACTTTCAGGTTAGGGCATGAAATTGGCATATGATGGTGACTGATGATGAATGGAAGATAATATGCCATCGACGTCGACGAGGAGATCATAATACATGATGACGGTGATGGGTGAGATGATGATGTCGAGCGACTTTAATACCTTGTGCTCTTGCCGAATATCGTGCGTTGGTCAGACATGTATAGCATCTTGTTGTCTTTCAAGTTGACTGCCAAAGCACGCTTCAACCGCAGCGCGCTGGCTCAGAAGAGCTCTTTTGAGCGTCCGAGTAGAAAAGAGTCTTTTTGCCCCTCGCTGTATAGTCCCCTAACCTCGCTCTGCGTTCTGCTAATACTGGAAAGCCATAAGGGAAACCTAGGCGCCAGGGGAGGTGGAACCGGAGAGCATAAGGTGGCGACTGATAGACACCATAAGGGAAACCTAGGTGATATCAATCAATGCGCTTGTGCACCCCTCAGGTCTTGCAAGCCTGAGTATCCTCTTGTACTCGCGATACAAGGGTGGCTCTCCGTTGGGAAAGGATTGGCCCCTGGACCCGACCCGTTGATAGGGATACTATCACCTGGACTACAACATCAACACCTACACCTGTTTATAGCGATTCTCCTTCCAGCCCTGAGCTAATACCTGTTGGCGCGGGCAACATTTCTTGAATAGTTTGTCTATTCCACCACCTCTTGCAAAAACTGGGTGGGGTGGCTTCTTCCCGCCGGCAGATGTCGACACGGAATCCTCTGCCTGAACTTTCTGGCATGACAAAGAGCGACCTCATTCAGCCTCTCAGCCCACGACTTCTAAATCCACCGAAATGCCAAATTCAAAACGGCCCCGAAATTCCAAGACCCTAATCCCCCCATTCGGCCGCCAGGTTCCAGTGTCCCAGCAATGCGAACCCGAAACCCCAAACTGTTTTTCAGTACAAGGAGTTTTCGGGCACTTTGAGTGAAAAGGTGCCGTGGTAAAGAGGGGCCTCAAAACAGGGGCCTAAGCCCTGTAAATTTGAAGAAACCCCATAAACCCCATGAATCCCATGAACCCCATAAAACCCTACAAACCCTGTAAACCCTACAAACCCCACAAACCCTATAAACCCTACAAAACCCTCTAAGCCCCAAAGCCCTAAACCCCCCCCCAAAAACAAGCCCTTCCTCGCCAGGGTTTCGCAAGCCAACCCCGAGGTCGCCGCTCGCCGCCTGCCGGGCGGGGGTGCCCTGGTCCTGGCCGACTGCCGCGCAGCTGCAGGTTTTTCAAAGGTTTTCTCGGGTTTTCTCGGCTTGTTTCCTGTCAGGTCTGTTTTTTTTCCAACGGGTTTCTTAGGGTTTCTGGGAGCTTTAGGGCTTCGAGGTTTAGGCAGGGTTTTTCGGGTTTGGGTTTGAGCATTTTTTGTGGGGTTTAGGGCTCGCTTATGTTTTAGAGATTTGGTGGGTGTTCTGGGTCTCTTAGTTATGTTTTGTTCAGGTGCCCTGAAACCAGACCCTCGGAGATCTATACTAGTAGCTGCGCAAAGGGAAGTCGCGGTGGTTTCTCAGCCCGGCTCAGTTTGTAACTCAAGCAATGCCCTGGCAAGGTCAAGCCCTAAACGTACACCCTATAAATCCTAAGTGCCCATGACCTTTCAAGCGACTAAGGGGGGGGAATCTGTTCGTGCGAAGATCCGCAGCCCCAGTGTGACCCATATGTCTTTCACAGGGTTTAGTGCATCGTGGCCGGCATTTGAAGTGTAAGCCCGGAGTTCACATGCAAGACACCCTCGCATCAAGCTGAAGTTCGCGCAGGATCTGTTGAGGGTATTGGGATGCAGACAGGATTTGTGCATGAAGTTAGGTTGGCGGGAGCAGGTGCGAACTTTTGAGGAAGCCATGGACCATGGCTTGCCCTGCGACCATCGGGAGGGCGGATTCGGACGTGGACCTGGACTTGGAGCAGTCCCGTCCAGGGGATGCTCCTGACAGGCCTGCTTCCACATTGCGCACCGCGCTTCCGCTGCTGTGCTCGCGCTGCTGCACGTTGGCTTGCTGTTGGCTTCTGCCTTACATAGTCTGTGACCCGCCATTTGTCATACTGTATCTGTGCGGTTGTTGGGTTTTGCTTGTATGGCATTGGGGCGAAATGGCCGTGCTAAAGCTGCAGCCAGCATGTTGGCAGACACCCCAGCCTTTTGGCAGCCTGCTGGCATCTGCGGTGAAGCAGGCGATGGCCTCCGTAGTGTCGTGTTTGTGTTGCGTGGATTGCTGCATGTGGCAACGCTTGCCTCCCATGATGCACGCCGCTCGATACATCCGTGTGGCGAACGGTGAAGAGGATGCCGACAAAAGTTCGCAAGCAGAGGATGCTCCAGCGGACGCCGGCCGTACGCGTAGGTGCGCTTTGGTATGCCGCCTGTTCTCAGTGACCTTGTCACTCAGCTTATGGTCAGCCTTGTACTTGCTCGTTTTGGCTCTAAGAGAATGTGAGTGCGACGGCTACCAAGTGGTGCAAGAGGAATTGGATGGCATCTTCCTTCCGCCAGCGCGCTTCGATGCCGGCTGGGTGTTGGCAAAGCCGGATGAAGCTGCACCCGACAATGCTTCAACACACGCGCCCAGATTTCCATTTGGAGCAGTGATGGCGACGTTGCCTGGGCAGTCGCAGTGGGGTCCACGCTTCAATATGTACGAGAGGATTGAGGAACTGAACATCATTCGCCACGGTGAGAAATGGAAAGATCTTGTCCGAACGGTTCGCAGCCAATTGAACCAATTCAGCTCTGATGCCTTCCGATGGTGGTTGGTGAACTACTTCCTGTACCGCCGACCCGACTATCATGTCCGCTCAGCAGGCATTCGCAACCGAACACCTGACATGCATCCGCCGTACTTCTGCTTCATTGAAGCCGACATCTTTATACCGGACTTCGGCTTCCTAGTGGAGACCCTCAACAGGGTGAAGCCAGACATTGCGCACATCCAGCACATGTGGGGGGGCTACTTCTTCGAGCCTGTGAACACAGGCATACTGTGTGTGTCGCAGAATCCCTGCCTCTGGAATCGCTTGCTGTTTAAGCTCAATCTCTGGAAGAATTCTCGGCACTGGGTGAGGCTTCTGGGCGGGGCGACCTCCGTGGATGCCCTTCTAACGAACAAGCACGTCTTCAAGTGGCCGCTGGGCTTGCTTTTCTTGTTTTCGAGAAAGAGGCTTCTCTGGGATTCCTACGTTGTCATAGAGTCGTAAACCAATCCACTGTTTGATGTTTGTGGCAGGGCTTCTTTCAAACAGCCAAGGGAGGACGGTGGCTGCATTGAGTACAGACCAGGATGCCACTACGTCCACTTCACCCGGCCGAAAGTCCCAGCTTACCAACGGTCCCGAGAAGCAGTGCTACGGGAAGCAAACAGTACCGGTCACCCAAGCCCTTGATGCCCCACAGAGCGATACCCGGATCCAGTTTGAGCCAGCGATGCTCGCCTCAACTTGCCATTCTGAGTGTCACCGCAGCAAGGTCATGCAGCTGTCGCCATGGGTCGATTTCATTCATGTTGTGGGTCCTGGCGCCGACGGGCGTACGTGGAATTCATGGCGGGCTTTGTCGGGCGGGAGAAGACGCCAGCCAAGCGTTTGCTCAGTGCCCAGTCGCGCACGCACCGATCAAGACACCACCGCGGATCATTCAATCCCGGAAGAACCACACCGCGCGAGCCGTGCTCCCCAAACCCTGAGCCAGCCCTTGCAGCCCGAACCCCTGGGTCAATGAAGCCGAAACCTCTGGAAATCTCCATCCCCGATTTAGGGTGCGAGGCCTGCTAGGGTGTTAGGAGCTTGGGAGTGTCCGACGGAGCACTCCAAACCCTGCTTGGAGGTTCAACTGCCTCAGGTGAGATTTGTCCTCGTTATGACTGTAGGTCTCCCACTCAAAAGCTTCAGTTGTAACTCTTCAGATGTAGCTCCTCATGAACCTCCGAGCACATAAGCTCGACCCTTCGTCGGTTTGAGAGCTCGCGCCTGGGCGTGTCACTACTCTTGGAAAAAGGATCTTGAGCAGTGCCGCTGTGAGCTCGCAGGGTTTAAGCATTTCTTTCGGAAATCTGGTTTAGGCCTTATATGGGGTGTAGGGACTTGTTTGGTATCTGGGAGTCTGAAGCCCTGCGCTGCGCTGCTCAAGGCAGTTCGCGTCCGCTGCGCGTCCTCAAAAAGGGCCGAAACGGCCAATAGAAAAAGCTGGCGGACCTAAAACGAAACTCCAGCAGCAGAATCTCAAGCCCCACTCCGAAATCCGAAACTCCCCAAAGCCCAAGCCGCTACAAGCTTGTGCAAGTGTCACGGTCGAGCACCCCAAGCGCCAAATCTGAAACTTCCCAGAAACCCCTTTTTCAGCCCTCCCTTACAGCCTTCACAACCCTGGAATCATGATCCCTCAAACAAATCCAAACCCAGGAAGACCGCTTGTGTAAGAGGTGAGGGTGCCTTTCACCTTTGTGGTTCCACGCTGAATGCCCGGGGCTTCGGCGACGTGGGCTTTCTGGCCTACCACCTCAGTACCCTGGAGCTGCGATTGATGGGTTTGTCTTGGGTTTGTGGGGTTTGAAAGGGTTTCTAAACCCTAAGGGCCAAAACTCCCGAACCAGAAGCCCGTTTAGGGTCCAAAGGGTCGGGTTGAGGCTTTCAGTGATGATCTGGGAAGCCGGGTTTCAGAATTCAGCGATTGAGGTTCTACGGCGGGGGCTTGGAAAACAACAAATATAGCCTTGTCTTTTTGGGGTGAACCGTTTGGAATGCCTAGGGCGGCAGGGTCTGGGCAGGTCGCTTTTGACTTTCTGCCGGGGGTTTGCGGGCGAATGGGGTCCAGGATGATGCTGTTCTCGCACAGGGCCTGCTGAAGCCGAACTTGCATCCAGTGCTCTAACCATCTGCCCAAGGGACAATCGCAAAGAGAGCGCGTGCTGAGAATAGATCGTTCCTTTCCGAGTGAACCAGCCTCTCGAGGCTCCACGGTGATCCATGTCACGATGGGCAGCATCGACGAGCCCTTCGGCACGCCTAGACCGAAACAGAAGTGCTCCAGGGTCGGAGAGAGCAAAATTTGTGAGATGGATGGTATTTTGATCCTAGACTTCTTACCACCCCCACCCGAACCTATGTGCCTGGCTAACGCCCTCTCAACCCCCTCCAAGGCGGGACCTGGAGGCCTTGGGCCATCTCGCCACGGATGCCGGGGAGCTGCGCTGCTCCGCGCCGGAGACGCCTGGACCAAACGAAAAATGGGGATCGTATGCGCTTGACCCACGATCACCACTGCCAGTTGTTTCTTTTGTGCTGGAGGAGTGGGGGTGGTGAAAGGGTTTAAGGGGCAAGGGTTCTGGGTAAAATTGGGTTTTGGGGTTTTTTCTGAGTCCGGAAGTCCAAGCCCCTCAAATCTTGGGTGAGTGCAACTGGGGTTCTTGCAGGGCTGAGGTGCCGAAAGCGTTTGATTGGGTGCCTGCGGAATTTCCTGTAGAAAGGTTTTGTGGGGCCCCGCGACATGAGCTTCCCACCTGCTGCCTCGAGGTGTCTCAGACCGGATGCAGTTCCTCCGGAGCTGCTTCTGCTGGTGAATGGAGCGCGCTTCGAGCTAGGCTGCGCCCCCGAAAGTTCCACTTGCTGAAGGGGATTTCACGTTCCGTTGCCACAGGTCCCCTCCCCCCCCCGCCCCCCCGAATTGCAGAGAGCTTTTCGGAGCCAGAGTCAGGGCCTTGACAGAGATTTTGTTAGCTGAGGCTACCTGATCCTGTCAAGTATGCTTCGCCTGAACATCCTGGCAGGTAGTCTTGTGGAGTCGTAGACCAGAGGTTCCGCAGAATCCTAACAAGCCGTCGCTCCACATTCGGGCCCTAATTGCTCCTATTTCAGAATGTTGTTTCGGTTCTGGCCTTGCTGATATTGAACCTTCCTGTCTTCGTTTTGTTTTGCTAGTTTCATCAGGTTTCATCTTTCACTGGCTTCAGGCCTGAAAATCTGGACCGCCCGCCTACATCAATAAGCCTTGCAGCAAGTGGCCCCTAACCCCAAAGCAATCCAAAAACAATCTCACCTCGTAGACCCTAACCCAAAATTCTCCAGTCCTGCTCCCCCCCACGCACTGGTCAGGTGATGCCGTCGCGCGCCGCCTTCTGCAGTCGCCCTGCGAAAGATTTGGCCGTAGCATATTGCAGCGCAGCTTTCCCAGCTGCACACCTGAGTGCTACTCCAGCGTCATCCTGTCTTACATTGTGTGGGTGAGACAGCCAGCTCCAAGCCCTGACTCTTGTAACCCCACAGAATCGCAGACAACTTGGGGCCTTAGCCTTGAAATTTGTGTGTTCGTTTAGGAATCACGGAGGTATGCAATCCGGCGATATGTGGTGAGGTGGTTTCGCCATGCCGGCACCGCAACCCACAGTGCTTGCCCCGTACCTGCGTACAGGCCACCAGCGGGCTCCGGCCGGCAGTGTGCCCGCTCCGCCATTTCGCGGGTGTTCGGTGCTTCCACAGCAAGGAGTTCTTCATGTCGCGACGAGCTTCGTCGAGCTGTTAAAGTCTTGCGATTCTCTTGCCTCAAGGATGCACAGGGAGAGGCCACCTTCCCCATCCGTTTCCGCGCACGCGTCTTTTTTTCACAAGGAAGCTATAGCACCAAGAGCCCAAAACCCCAAACCATCCCAAAACACTCTGCCCAGCTAAGCTGGTAAGCCTTCAAGCCTTAGGCCCCAAACCTCCTGAAGCCCCAAGCTTCTAAACCTCAGGCCCAAAACGCTGGCCCCAAACCCACAACGCAAGCCCTAAAAAATGTTCAGGTGCAGAGCCGGCCCTGGAGGCCCTTCCTGGCTGTGAGCACGCGGGCTACTGGCCCAAGGCGGAATGGGGGGTCTAAGGGGTATACTGTATACATAGTTCTCGACTTACCCATAAGTCATTCGCCTTCAAGTAGAACCCCTAGCCCGGCCCGATATACAACAAACCTTTCTTAAAACAAAAACAACACCTTGAAAGCCTAAAGCCTCTGAAGCCTGAAGCTTTGAGGCTAACCCGCTCAAAGCGCTAAAGAAGAAGCAGCCTTAGGAGGCCGCTTACCAACTCCACGAAGATAGATGCCCTGGACAAAACCCGTAGTTTCTCGGAAGAAACGCCTACCAACCTAAACCCTGACCCCCCTAAAACTTAAACCCTAAACCCCTGAAACTTCAACCCTAAACCGTAAATCCTAAACCCCTAAAGCTGGACTCGAGAACCCTGGATCCTTGCCTGCGCGTAAGCTAGTTGTGAGAGTCGAAACCCTAAACCTTATAACTTATAAGCCCTAAACCAAGGTGGAGGGCCGTGTGCGAGTGTGAGGGTCGAAACCAAGGTGGAGCGGCTCCGTGAGCGACTCCTCGAAGCAGCTCCGGTGGCGCAGGGCCCGCTGCAGGCGCTTACCCATTATAGAGGGGCCTTAACCACAACAGGGTTTGGTGGTTGAGGGGTTTCGGGATTAGGGGTTAAGCGTTTAGGGTTAGGGTTTAGGGGCATGGTTTAGGGGTTGAGGGTTTAGGGTGTTGCTCAAAAAGAGTTGCAAAAGGGTTGAGGGTAGGGTCGATCTTCCAGGGAGGTGGCCGATTCCTTAGTACTTGAGGGGTTGTAGATCTGGGCGGGAAGAAATACGTTGCTTTGGGGTTCGTACTTTATTGAGGGCCTAGGGTATTTGGGAGTCTCTGTTGGGATCATATGAAGCCCTTGCGTTGCCGTCCAAGAGACCAAGAGCCCACAAGCCCGGAAACGACTTCACGAACCCAGACGTCCAAAGGCCACGACAGTTTCGCACTTGGTGCCCAGACGTCCAAACGCGATGACAGTTTCGAGGATGGCAAGAGCGGCCACTCCTGCTCCTAGGCGAGAGCGCGATATTCATCCAAAATGCGAGCAGGCTTTGAGAAAATCACATGGTCCGCAGCAGGCGTGCCGGTGGGGCCCGCCCTTTTGATCCGGACGTGAGCACCCCTTAGCTTTGCTACACTGTTTGGCGAAAAGACTCCGGTTTAGGGTTTGATGTTGGCGCTATCTGAAGACCCTTCATCAAGGGAATCTGTACAGGCCCTCACAAGCGCCCCAACCCCATGAAAAGGCCCTCCTGGGCCCCCATCAAGCCAGGGCCCTCCTGGGCGCCCCTGGGCTAAGGCCCCCCGTTAGCCGCCCATAAGCCCCCCCCAAAACTCCCGAAAGCCTTGGCCCTAAACCCTAAACCCTAAGCCCGCGAGCTGAGTGTCAGCTAGGCGGGTGGCAAAAAAACTCTAGAGCGAGGGCAGTGCGGGTGGCAAAAAGGCCCGGAAAAACCCTAAACCCCTCAACCCCTCAACCCCTAAACCCCTCAACCCTACACCCCTAAACTCCTAAACCCCAAAAAGCTCCTCTCAGGGCTCCCAAAGCCAAGGCTTCTGGGAGCCAAGTGGCGAGGCGGCTCGAGGCCCTGGTGGCCCACCTCGGCGGCGCGGAGCCGCCAGGCCCCACGGCGCAGGTTGTTCTGAAGGGTCTCTGGGTTTAGGGTGTAGGGTTTAGGGGTTAGAGTTTAGGCTTAGGGTTTAGGGCTTGGGGTTTAGGGTTTAGGGTGTTGGGTTTGGGGTTTGGGGTTTGGGGTTTGGGGTTCGGGGTTTGTGTTACCCAGAGGAGTCCGGATGCACAAAGGGTTTGCGTTTAGTTTTTAGGGCTTGGGGTTTAGGGTCCACAAATCTCTGTGAGCCCAGATGCAAATAAAGGGCGACAGAACTCGAAGCTGTAAACCCCAGACGTGTGCCAACTTGGTATATGCACTTGGTAGAGCACCGTATTGTTGGTACCCTTTGCTACGTACTAGTGGGAAATTTGGATGATCCCAGGGTCTTGATCTGCCATGGCCCTTGCTCCGACGTAAACCCCCCTAAGCCCTAAGCCGAAAGCTATGCAGCCTCTGAACTCCCAACTCCAAACCCCTTGAACCTTCTGAGCATCCTGAACCCCAAGCCCTAAACCCAAAACCCTAGACCTTTGGTTAGGTCTGCTTGAGACCGAATCGTAACCTTTTTACTTCGTGGGGCCTAACCTAGCCTAGACCCAACACACATTTTCGGGCTTTCGGGTTTTGGGCTTCAGGCGATTGAGAAAAAAGGAATGTTGGCAGTTCAAATTTCCTTCTTCGTGCGGTCGCCCCTTAACTGACGACAAGGCATGGAGGGTGGTATCCTAAACCCTTGTTTATGGTGCTGGGCTTCGGTCGACTCGTGGAAGTTCTCAGGGTCGCCAGCTTGCGGTGCGTCTTGTGGTTCGTTGCCCATCGTCCTGCGCTTTGCGGTAACGGTGGTGGCGACTTTCTCCTACTACTGCTCCCGCCGAAGGAGCACCTCAACATTAAGTGGGCAACGGAGCCAAACCAGGATGCTGCAAACTCCCTTCACCCTGCACCGTACACTCTTTTGTTACTGTAGGGCTTTTGCGCAGAGGGGCCCCGAGCCCGAAATCGCGGCGTTCATACACTTGCCCTGAAGTTGCTATGGTGTAGGGTTTGAGGTTATCGGGTTCGGGTTTAGGGCTTCGGACATGGGGGGTATTGGGGTTTTTACAGTTAGGTTTTCTTGTCGGGTACTGGTGTTGTTCTTGAAGGGTCCATGTACCTTAACAAGGTCTATGAGTCTGTTTGGGCTGCAACGTAATTCCTGTGGACTGGGCCCCAAGCGTATACTGAGCTACATGAGCCCTAAATTGAAAGCCCCGAAGCCAAACCCCCAAAACTTAGACCCCAGACCCCGTCCACCCCTTGAGACGGAAGGTCAGAACTTGGTGCTGAACCCTGAAGGTCCTCAGATCAATGATCCCTTCAAGCCCCTCAACCCTCAACCCTCAACCCTCAACCCTCAACCCTCAACCCTCAACCCTCAACCCTCAACCCTCAACCCTCAACCCTCAACCCTCAACCCTCAACCCTGAACCCTCAACCCTCAACCCTCAAACCCTCAAACCTCAAACCTCAAACCCTCAAACCCTCAAACCCTCAAACCCTCAAACCCTCAAACCCTCAAACCCTCAAACCCTCAACCCTCAACCCTAAACCCTAAACCGAGTGCGTGCCAAAACCCAAAACCCTAAACCCTTTTTGCCTCCCGAACCCGACGTCCTCCCTGTTATGCAGCTGGCCCCATCTCTGCCGCGGAGCACTCGCTGCGCAGCCGGCTGCTGGATCCTTTGGTGGAGGTGGGGGGTTTAGGGTCTGGGATTTAGGGTTTAGGGCTCAAACCCTTTAACCTGCCGGAGCCTGTACTGCCTATGCTGTTAGCTTTTGTTGCGTAGTTTGGGCTTGGGCTGAAAGTCGAGTTCGAATCCTACTAGGCATCTCTTCTTTGCACCGACTCACATCATGCGAATTTGCTAAATCTGCCGAGGCGGATTACTCGCAGACAAAAAACCCATCTTCAACACGTTTGAGTCGGGAAACAGGACCAAAGTGCACATTCCCCTCCCACTCTCTCGCATCTTGTGCATCACACTTCACGAGCATGATGCATGATGCTCTTGGCGATGCATGCTGGTAATGGCGATCACAGCGCGGAGAGCAGCCAATACCAGGCCTCATGTGAATGATATACCGCGTTCGCAAAGCACAGCGGTTCCTTAAATGGAGGGCAGCGGCGGAAGCCATCTGCTGGCGCTTGTCTTGACTTTTGAAAGGTCGAATGCAGGCACTCCAAAAGATCTTGCGCGTACCCCCTTGGAACCAAATCTCCATGCTTTACGCAATCCCACAGATACTTACCCTAGCTCGCTGCTATACATGTGGGCCCTTGGCTGCGAAAAAAATGTCCGCATGCTTCAGAGGTGTTTTTTTTGTTGGCTGGTGCCTTAATCCGTGCTGAGGGCTGGCTACTCAAGCCTGGCGTGCCGCGTGTGTGAGTGTCGAAATGTGCCGCAGTGTTGCCCCTGTGCGGCGTGGTCGGGCAACTTTCAGAACGCTAGCCTCAGTCTGTTTTGTGTGCATGTTGCACATGCTGCCAGGAGATCGCCAAGAAGTTCACGACTGCCGCCAGTTCCTGGCGACCCAACCAGGCCACTAAACCCCTAGTTGAAACGCCGGTAGGGCAACTGGAGCATAGTTTCAAGCAGGGTCAAACACTTGGAAGTAGAGTAGGTAGCCTTTAACCTTTTTGGGTATTCTAATCCCTATAAACGCCCAAAGGTTAACCTTTAATTCCCTAAGAAATTGTTGCCGAGTGTAAAAACTTAGCCACCTGATGTGCAGAATGTGAGTTTCTGTCATGCACGATCCAAGCAAAACCAAGGCGCGCCAGCAACCCCAGTAGTCCATCAATAGAAAGTGGACAGGTGTTTATTGACCGTCTGGTGGCTGTACTACTTGTACACCGTGTTGCTACCATTGCTCTTCAAACTGGGCACGCCCAAGTTTTGCTCCCTAGACCCTCACCACCGTCAAGCGCCCAAAAGCCTTAAGCCCGTTTGATCCACAACCGATCGTACAGGTGAGCAGCCCCTCCTCTGCAGATGCACGTGAGGATGAAAGTGCCGTGGAGGAGGCCCCCTTTGGAGCTTTCGGGCTTGCGACCTACTAAGGTTTGGGGATGTCTGTTCGCCTCTGTCCGGAACTTATGTGATGCGACTTGTGTTGAGCCAATGAGCTAGTGACCCTAATAGACTCTGGTGCAGGCTTTGCGCGAGTTCGACGAGCGGTCTGCTTGGCTTGCAGAGGGTGTCGAGGAAGAAGGCGTCAGATGGTCATGATTATGCCGTGTATTTCATGGATGATCGCAGATTCATAAAGTCCTGGGCCCAATCGTTAGAATATCGAATACCGAAGCACTACACCAAAAAGCGCTTTAGACTCCAAGCCCTCAGCTTCAAACCCTACATCCTTCGTAAGGTGTGAGGGTGCTAGGCAGCACTGCCACCCTCATCCCTGGACCGTTAACTTGACCCCGGCAAGCCTCGAGCCCCAGCCTCCTTAAGCCTCTGCAGATAGTTGTAAGTAGGGTAAGATGTCGTGCCCAGACTAAAATATTTGTGGCCAGTTACAACCACAACTATAGATAGCCTGCTCAAAAGCCTCGGACTGGCAACGTGTGAGCAGAGTAACCCTAACGCCTGCAAACCTCCTCCAGCTGGGGCGCTCCCCGCGGAGCTGCTCCGCGCCGTGCGCCAGCGCCTTGCAGCGCGGCTCCAGGCATCTTCTTTCGGGTCGTGGGTTTAGGGTTGGGGGTTCACCCATGGGGTTTGGCTTTGGGGGTTTGGGGGCTTTGCGTTCGGGATCGTCGCAGCTTCAGGGTCCACTGAGGTGTTGCCATTGCTTAGCTTAGGGCGCTAATTCTGTTTAAGTTATTTTTGCTGGGACATTCGGCTCGAGATTTGTCCTTCGGCAGAAGTTCTAGCGCCCTAAACCCTAAGTCCTCAACCTCTCCCTGAGCCACTTGGGGCCCAGCTGATTTCCCACTGCAGGGCATCGCAGAGGCCGTGGCACGAGGGCGGGAGGACGCGGCAGGGATTTGCCCTTTGCTTCCGGTTTCAAAAAGGGTTTCTGGAAACTGGGACACTGCTTGCTTTGAAGCGCATCTGTAAAAGGGTTTCTACTTGCAACGGTTGCCTGCTCGGGGATCCGAATGGTAACAGGGTTTGGGATCATTATTTCACAACGAGGGAGCCCTCAGCCCAATTGGGTAGCCAAAAGCCCTATGGTCTTCTGAAGCGTTGGGATTGGCCGGCTCAGGGTTCAGGCTGAGTTTGGGACTCTTCTACTTCGTGTTTGCAGGTTTCAGATTGTAGTACGTCATTCTAGAAGTCGAAACCCGAAGCAAGAGCCCCCACTTCCCCTGCCCCCCACCCTAAACCCAAATCACACCTTGAATTTCACCTAACCAGGTGGCAGCAAAAAACACCAAACTTCCCAAGCGACAAAAACCGAAATCCAAAGCCCCAAGCCCCACGCCCACAATGCCCCAAGCCTGAAACCCTCCCAGGAAAGTGCAGCCCTGCGGCGACAGGGCTCCGCACCCCGGACTCCAAACGTCGAGGTTCTCAAACATTTCGGGGGTCTGGGGTCAACAGGGTTTAAGGTTTCGGCTCAGCTGCGCGGCCACATGACGGCCACCTAGTAAGTTATACTAGGCTTTGTCCATGGCACCAAAAAGGCTGGAAGAAGGTCAGCTTGGCTGACTGAAGGCTCCTGCTTCTCTCTGCAAGATGCCAATGTTGTATTTGGAAATAACTTGAGCCTGTTGGAGGTGATGCAGGATGCTGCCAACATGATGGCCGAAGCAGGATGTGCGGCCATGATAGAGAAATCCAGAACTCCACAAAGGATTCACTTTGCCATCTGCTGGCCAGTAGGGTAAGTGTGCTCAACTTGCATAAAAGTACATCTACCCAATGTGCCCCTATGAGTATATCACGAGTATATTCCTCCAAGCCTCAAAAGACCTCCCCCCTGAACCTTTTAACCTGCGCCTGAAGTCGAAGCACAAGGCGTCGAAGCGCGACCGCGGCACGCCCTCGCGTCTTGAGCGATCCCCTGGCTCGCAGCTGGAGTTCAGGACGCCAGGGAGGCACCACAGGGTTTAGGGGCTTTGGGGCTTTGGGGGGTCTAGGGTTCAGGGTTCAGGGCTTGGGGGGGGTTGAGTAGGGTTGATCACCTGCTCCTGCATTCATCATCTGAGCGTGAAGGAACCGTGAACCCCCAAGCCCGAACCCCTGAAATTGTGCCAATGATCGCACGAGTGTGTGTTGAAACACTAATTGCCAGTCAAGACTTGGTCAAGACTGACGCACAACACGAATCAGTCCTGTAACCCAAAAGGGTCAAGGCTTTGGGGGCTTTGGGGTCGCTTGGCTCGTTGCCCAGCGTGCCTGAGGAGTGTAGGCCTTAAACTCGCCCGGCTGTAAACCTTATGTGCGGAACCCCTATATGGGTGCTTCAAAGGTTAGAGAAACACCCCAAAAATTGGAAAAAAAGAAGCCCTTAAGAAAAAAAAAAGAAAAAACAAAAAAAGGGGTCCCCACCCCGCGCTCCTTCTTCCCCGCCTCACCTATGCCCTGAGCCGCAACTCTCGCAGGACCCCCACGCCACCCCACACGCCCAGCCGGCGGCGGCGGCCCCTGCATGCTGTTTTCGGGTTAAGGCTTTAGGGCGCAAGGGGTTTGCAGAGATCTAGACTGAGCCCAAACCCCAAACCCTGGCGGGTGGGCGAAGAAGAGCCCGGAACCCTTTCTTCCCTGGCGGATGTTGCCAATCAACTATGCGGGGGGCAAAAAAAGCCTGGTTGAAACCATACTCTTGGGAAACTCCAGATGTGCAGTTCTCTAAGTTATTGTCGTCCCTTGTGAGGTTCCGACTCTCGCCTAGAAATCCAAGCCCTGCACTGCGCGGCCAGGACGCTGGCGGCCCTTCTCGGAGCGGCAGAGGAGGCAGTGCTGCGCGTGGAGGCGGGGGTGTGTTCTGCCAGTCTGACGCCTTTGCCTTTGCGTTCAAAGCATGGGGAGCTAGGTAGCAGCTCGCGGCTGGTGCTCGAAGACCCGAAACCCTGAACCTTGAACCAGACCTCCACTCGGAGCCGTTGGCAGGCGTTCCATGCGGCAGCCAACCATCAAGCCAAGGCCGCTTCCACCCGGAGTCCTTCGAGGGAGAATGGGTTTAGGGATTTAAGGGTTTCAGGGTTTAGGCGCCCCCCCTCCCCCTCCCAGATTGAGTGCACCGAGTTGAGTACATGGTCATGGGAAGGCAAAGGCTTCAGACCCTGCCATAGACCTGAACTGGTACTTGAAAGGAGCTGCGTGAAATCTACGGAGAGGCGACCATCCAGGTGCCTGGAGATGTCTTGGTTTCGGCGGAAGTTTTGGTACGACCTCGTCTTCTGTGCTGTGTCCCTATTCTCCCTTCTCTTCCCTATCCATGTCCATCTCTTTCTCCCTCCTTGTAAGTCTCAGCCCCAGTCGGCAACAAAGTCCGCAGTCCACACAAGGCGACCGCGCGCTCTGAGGCAGCGCAGCAGGAGGACGTCGAGGCCAGCCATCCCCGGTTCCAAGGTTTCGGGTGCTCGGGGTGTGCTTGGTGACATGCTGCGTTAGTGCACGCTAGGCCTTTGCAGGGAAGGAAGGCCGGGAAGATTCGCCAGGTGCTTGCCGTCGTGACTGGGACCTCCCTCGAAGGGCTTTGGGGCCTTTGGCTGTGTCGAGTCCTGAATTGGCAGGATCCTGCCTTGCCCTTGTAGCCGACCCAGGTGCAAGCTATGAACTCGCAAAACTACCCCAAGCCGCGCCGGGGGGGGACCCGTGAAGATCTGTGAAGATGCCCCTCTTGGTGATCTTCAGTGTTTCGGGTTTAGGTTGAGTGCTAAAAGTTGCTCATTGACCCAAGAGGGCGTGTCGCCATCTTTCAGGCGATGGAAGAGGTCGCGCAGTGGCAGGCCGCAGCGCTTCGTGCCACAAGTGCTAGGGCAGCTCGGGTTTTTGGGGTTCAGAGGCTCGTGTTGGCGCCTCTTAGTCTCCCCTTCTTGTGCCACGAAAAGAAGGCAGAATGCCTCGGAGGGTGCATCTTATAGAGAAAGTAGATGACAGTGGTACGACCAAGTCCCATGTTGTTGTTGAGTTCATTCTCTCTCTCTCTCTCTCTCTCCCTCCCTCCCTTCCTCCCTCCCTCTCTCTCCCTCCCTCCCTCTCTCTCGCTCGCGCGCAGGATCGCTAACCTTAAGTATGCAGTGCAGGATGCTGGCGCACTTTGCTTGATTGTAGCGCACATGGTGAACATCGACAAGTGTTAAGGGTTCCGGCTTCGCACTGCTCAGTTGCCGTAGAGATAGCTGGCAGCCTGCACAGGTAAACCCCACCCCATCCGGACAGAACTCGGTCGGTGGATGCTTGAAGGCTCATGCCTTGCTAAAGCTTGGGTCATGTGCCTTCACAACCACCGTCACTCGCGTTGCACCAACGGCCACCCTACATATAAGGCCACAGAGAAAGTACCTATAAACCTTGAAGTAGGGCAAAGCTCACGGCAGGAAGAGTGGGAGCGACGGCTGTCCCAGGACGGCTGCGGCCAGGGGGCCAGCCTGAATCATCGAAACTTTAGGACCTTTAACTGATGTGCTGAGCTTCTGGGTTTCGCTTGTATGGTCCTGCAATAGTCCTGCAATGGCCTTACAATGGCCTTGCCCATCTTGCAATAATCCAGCCATGCTAGATCTTGACTGGTTGAAGTGTGTGGGAGATTGATGGGCGTTTGCCTTTGCAAGCTTTGTTGCAGAGAGGAACTTTTGACAAGTTAGTCCCCGCAGCGGATCGTGAGTGACAGACAAATGGCAAAACACCCCAGGGCAAATGCAACACTGCATGAGTTAGCCTGTTCGGAGTCAAACTAGCATGCATGAGATCGTCGTCGTCGCCGCCGCCGTCGTCCCTGCTGAGTGGTCCAGCCATTCGGAAGCGAAGAGTCACACCTAAACCCCTAAACCCCCCAACCTGCCAGGAAGCAGCAGTTGTCCGGCAGCGTGCGCAGCGCTGGACGGCAAAGTGCCAGGCGGCAGCTTGGGGAAGCGAGCCATGCTGGGCTTTGGTCTTGGGCTCGTGTTCGGCTCCCTATGCCCTAATCGGCCCTAATCCTTCGGTTTGAGTTGGTTTTCGACGAATTCAAGTTGCAGGTCTGGTGTCGGTTTTTTTTGCGGCGAACCACTCCTGAGATTTTGTAATATTGCAGATAGCATGTAACACCTACAAGGTCCCTAAGACCAATTCTTCTTTTTGGGAGGCCCTCAGGCCGAAGGCTTCGAATACATACACTTGTGCCGCGAGGCTTGCGGCGCCGTGCGTATCCACATGCCTGTTCCCGTGCTCGCAAGATTCGCAAGCCAAGCTCATACAGCAGCAAGGCATTGGGAAACTGCAGTGCCTTCATGGAACGCTAGGCTCCAAAACTCGCAAACTTGGCAAGTTTGTGGAGCCGACCTTTGTCCCTTTGTAGATTCCAGGGGCCTCTCTTTGCTAGCCGACTTTGCGACTGTGTCTCCTCTGTAGAGGAGATGGTCGACGACCTCTCCAGCCAGCTTCACTCCATCAAGGCTGGGCTCCCCAAATGTCTTCGTGAGGCCTTCACTTGTTTAGAAAGCTGAGGAGGACGTTGTGGGCCTTCATGGCTCAGCACTTGGGAGTCGGTTCAGGGTTCGGGGCCCTTGCGGGACCTTTCTGATCGGAACTTCAGGACCACAAGGGACTTTGGCTTAGTACAGTTTATAGAGCAACCAGCCCTCAGCTGCAGTAGAGTGGGCGTTGCAGTCTCCGAGCCCTCAAGGGTCAGCTGCCTGACGTCCTCTCGGGTGCCGTGGTGCTGGAGAGGGTGTCCTGGATGCCATCCCATGTTGAGGCTTTGTGCTGTTTATGGGGCTTCGGCTGTCGGACTGTCAAGAGCCCCAAGTGTTAACGCATGAGCCTTGAGCTCAGCAGCCAATACCTAAGCAAGACGGCCCTAAACGCTCCCCAACTGGGAACTCCCCTCAAGGAACTGCCCTCAACCAAGCCCTAGGTAGCCTCTCAGGATGGTTTACCTTTCTTGGGTCCGAGAGGAGGTTTTCAAGCACATGTCTTAGAGGGCTTTATGAAGCAGAACCTGGAAGCCCGACGTTTTGAAGCCCGCAGACCTGTTGTGCCTAGGTGCGGTCGGACCTTGAAGTGATGCGCGTGGGCCGGCGCGAGGCACGGAAGTTGCTGGAGGGGGTTTATGGTGCTGGTGTTTAGGCCTCGGGCCCTAGGGCGTCGGGCGCTGGGGTTCCGTGATTTCAGTGATTCAGACTTAGTACTCTAGTGGTTTGGGATTGAGAGCTCAATGACAGGCAGACCTGAAAACTTCTGCAACAGGTTGGCGGAACTTCGCCGAAACCCTTGACCTAAAGAATGGCTACCCAGAGACCTGCAAACCCTGGGTTTAGGCTTCGGCCTCTACAAATCACTGTAACCCCCCAACAACCTGGGAATGTTTTGAGTTCGGTTCCCAAACCCCATGAAGCAAAACTCTACAAATCACTGTAAACCCCCAACAACCTGGGAATGTTTTGAGTTCGGTTCCCAAACCCCATGAAGCAAAATTGAGTCTTTTCGTATCTGGATGTAGGTTCGCGGGTGGTGCCCAAGTTATAGAGCTGCCCATCAATCTCCATGCAGGTGCACCCTCAAACCCCCAAGCCTGAGCAAACAAAAACCCCTAAACCTTAAACAAACCCTAAACCATAAACCCGAACCGGGTTCCATAGCCATTTCGGCTCAAGCAATCTAAAGAGAAAAGCCCCTGCCAGTCCCTGCCGCCAATCAGCCCATCCTCCTCATGGCACGATGCCGTTGGCGCAGCTTGAAAGCTGCAAGCAGAGGAGGCAGCCTTTGGCCATGGCGGGAGGTGCCGCGGCATTTGCACTCAAAGATTCTCTCCAACGCCACGGCCCAAGAGAACGGGGCGCGCCAGGCTGCAGCGAGCCTTTTTGGGCCAAGCGCCGGAGATTGACTCCCTGCTGGCCCTGCGCGTCCAGGACGCCAAAGACTGGGCAAAATTCTCGCACCCCCGCTATTCCCACTTGTCTATGATGGCGGGAATGTGGCGCATGTGTGCGTCCGCTCCCGCGGACGCCCATGGGCTTTTTGTTGCCAGTGGACATTTCGTCTGCTGAGCGACCTGGGCGAGAACTGCGCAATCTTCTTTGACCCAGCGGACCGCTCTACGAGCTATATTTGCAGGACTTTGCCATGAAGTTGCTGGAGGGGGTTTATGGTTCTGGTGTTTAGGCCTCGGGCCCTAGGGTGTAGGGGACTGGCGTTCCGAGAGTTCAGTGATTGAGACTTAGTAATCTAGGGGCTTGGGCACTCCGTTCATTGCGATCTTTTCTCTCGCTTATTCACTTCACACACTATATTATAAGACGGTCAGTGACACGAACGAAACTAGTGAATGAAACGCGTGATCGAATGATACAAGTGAATGCAAACGTGGGAAAGGAAGTTGCAATATAGTATAACACAGTGAGATTGCGAACCGCGTAAACGATTGAACGAATTATTTTCACAAATCTTGCATCGTCTTCGGGGCAGCGTCGTCGTCGGGGCCTGCTGCTGAGACCGCTCCGCAAGTCGCTGGCAAGAAGAATGAGAAGAAGGCGTCGAAATAGGGGCAAGCGCAATTAAGCAACATACCTTCGGTCAGCGTCGGTACCAGCTGTGATCAGATTTCGCAGCTGCTGCTGGCATCCATGTAAGGAGGCATCCACTCTGGCGCTTGAATCGCTTGAAAAGGAGCCGGAGGTCACATGAGGGGAGCAACTAGCGTTTTTGCAACGCCACTTCTGCGCTCGCAGGCAATGAAGGAAACGCTCGACGAGGTTGGGCTCTCTGCCACGGCTTCTCAGCCGCAAGCTTGCTCCAAGGCCAAGGCAAGCCATGATTGATTGAGCGCGCTGTCACATCTTCTTCAGCTTTTCAAGCAAATTCGTTAGCTGCGCCAACGGCATCGTGCCATGAGGAGGATGGGCTGATGGGCGGCAGGGACTGGCAGGGGCTTTTCTTTTTGGATTGCTTGAGGAGTCAGTTCCCAACGGAGCAAGAACGAGTGGCTTTCCCCAAAGATGAGACTAAGCAAACAGGGCCGCGCCAGGATGCAGCGAGCCTTTCTGGGCCAAGCGCTGGGGGCTTGCGTTCTGCATATCGCACTGCAGGGCGATTGACTCCCTTCTGGCCCTGCGCGTCCAGGACGCCAAAGACTGGGCAAAATTCTCGCGCCCCCGCTATTCCCATTTGTCTATGATGGCGGGAATGTGGCGCATGTGTGCGTCCGCTCCCGCGGACGCCCATGGGCTTTTTGGTTGCCAGTGGACATTTCGTCTGCTGAGCGACCTGGGCGAGAACTGCGCAATCTTCCTTGACCCAGCGGACCCGCGCTACGAGCTATATTTGCAGGACTTTGCCTTGAAGTTGCTGGAGGGGTTTGTGGTGCTGGTGTTTAGGCCTCGGGCCCTAGGGTGTAGGGGACTGGCGTTCCGAGATTTCAGTGATCGAGACTTAGTAATCTAGGGGCTTGGGACCGCCCAAACAAATCACTGTAAACCCCCAACAGACTAGGAATGTTTTGGGAGTTCGGTTCCCAAACCCCATGAACCTTTGTCTTTTCATGTCTTCTTGTGGGTTCACGGGTGGTGCCCAAGTTATAGAGCTGCCCATCAATCTCCATGTAAGTGCGCCCTCAAACCCCCAGGCCTGAGCAAACAAAAAAACTAAACCGTAAAGCGCGCACCTTTAAAAAAAACCCTAAACCAGAAACCCGAAACCCGAAACCTCGGGTTCCATAGCCATTTTGGCTCAAGCAATCCTGTATAAACATAAAGCCCTGCCGTCCATCAGCCCATCCTCCTCATGGCACGATGCCGTTGGCGCGGCTGACGATGAAAAGTTGCGAGCAGAGGTGGCAGCATCTGGCCATGGCGGGAGGCGCTCCGTGCTCTGGGGGTAGTCGTCCAGCCAGAAGTGCGAGGAGGTCAGGATGCTCGCGTTGCGGTTCGGGAGATTGATGGGCAACGGCTCGCCCGACCAAGGCTCTCTGGTTCAAGAGTCGTCTAGTTTTGAGAGCTTAGCTTCCTGCATTAACTTGAGGCTTGAGGCCCGAACTGGCTCGCGTCTAAAGAAGCGTCCCACCTTTTGCAGCAGTTGCCATGGTTTTCATTGCGAAGATTTGCTTTTTTCTTGCGATATTATGTATTTCCTTGGGCGTGAAGAATGCAACATGATGGTGACATGCAAGCGTATGAATCAATGGAGACAGTACAGTGTGAGAGAAAGCCCGAGCAATGATGATGCTGTATGTGTTCGCCCTGCCAAAGTCAGAAGGCAGACTGCCTCTTCCAAGCGGATGAGCCGACAGTGCATGCAATGCAGGATTACATGTCGTCACCGTCGGCGGGCGACAGTGCGGATGAAACCTCCGACTCCATTCAGGATCGGTCATCTGTTCTGTGCGTCCAGGACGCCAAAGACGGGGTAAAATTCTCGCGCCCGCGCTATTCCCACTTTTCCATAAGGCTGGGTGGCGGGAATGTGGCGCATGTGTGCATCTGCCATGGGCTTTTTGTTGCCGTGGACATTTCGTCTGCTGAGCGACCTGGACGAGAATTTCGCAATTTTCCTTGACCCTGCGGACCCGCGCTACGAGATATATCTGCATGACTTTGCCTAGTGACGAAGCTGTGTATATGTAGCTGTATATATGCGTCCTGGGCAGTCCTGGTTGATGCCTCTCATTTTGTGTTATTTCGGGTCTCTCCTTCCTCTGGCGCATCATCCTTGCCTGCTTACGGTGGGTAGGGCCCCCTCGGATTGCGTCCCTAGCCGGTCCTTCCGTCTCTCGGGCGCGTCGCGCTTCCCCTCGTGGGGACTCGGATGGGCAAGGGATGGCGCCTTAGGCACAGTGCCAGCACTCGCTCATTCGCGCACTCGCCCACTCGCTCACTCTCTCACTCACTCACTCGCTCACTCAGTCACTCAGTCGCTCGCCCGAAACCTCGGTTGCTGGGGGAACTGGGGCCGTAAAGGTGTTGGAGAAAGCTTCGAAGCGTGTCGCCGCGCGGATGGAGGAGCCAGCCTTTTCAAGGGCTTGTAGATCTTGTAGGAATTACGGGTTTTAATAGAGTTTGAGGGTTACCCGGCAGGTCGCTCACAGTCCTGGTTTTAAAAATGGTTCAGGGGTGTGTGAAAGGGGGCACTAGGGAGCGCTCCAGTTAGGAAGCTGTGCAGGGTATAGTCTTGCTCAGCAAGAATGCACTCAAGGAAGATGGTCTCTGATCTACGGCCGCCCTTACACCTCCGAACTACGAAGCCCCAAATAGGAAAGGCCCCAAGGCCGAAGCAGGACCTGAGCCACTTGAGCCTCTCATAAATTTCACATCCCTCGCGGGTTCGGCATTCTGCCGTGATCTTAGGAGCTCCGGGAAAGCTGTGCCTTCGAGTCCTCAGGCGCGAAATGGGATGGCGCAAGTCCTCAAGCCCCAAAGTCAGAAACCTTGGGCACGTGACGGCAGCCTGTGTCTTTCAAAGCCCGTGTCCGCAGCATCGCTCCTAAGCCCCACTTGAAAGCTCGGCCATGGCAGTTCATTGTTTATTGATCTTTGCCGTCTGTGGGCGTGCTTATGCTGCTACAAACAAGTTCTGGTGAACCTTCAAGTCATGCAAAATCCTTCGAAACCCTCGACGTCAGGCTAGGCAGCAACCCTAGCAGCCCTCTGAAGCCCGCACCGATTGCCCCCACAATCACCATAAGACCCAAATCCCAAGCCGGAACAGCGCAATCAGCGCACCACGCCCAGGCCATGCAGAGCTTCAGAGTCGCATCTCCACGGAGCTGGGGCAAAGGCAGGGCTCAGGATACGAGAAATTCTGGGGTGTAAGGCTTTAAGGGGTTTAGGGCTTTCGGGTCACATGACTTCGTTGGTTGTAGCAGAGCGAACATGAGCTCAGAAGAAACGGTGGGGTGGAAACGAGGGTTCAGGGCTCGAGGGCTTAGCCCAAAAAGCTGAATCTGAACCCGGAAGCCGTGCGGGGCTGCCAGGCCGGTGGCCAAAACCCGAGAACCCTAAACTTGCATCCGGAAAATCCTAAACCCTACACCAAAAAAACCCCAAGCCCACAACCCTAAGCCTAAACCCTGAACGCCAAGCTTTGAGCCGAAGCCCAAGAAATTACACGGCTTTGTCGCAGAAGCTCAGTTATCCTCCTCCACAGCCCCAACCCCTGAACCACCGCTACCCGTAGATGGGACCGTGGCGAACCTACGAAGCCTCCCAGGACAACTGGTACATGCCCTAAGTTCTTAACCCTAAACGCAAAAAAAGAACCCTAAACCCCAAATCCAGCGACAGCGCCGAGTAAACCCGGCGGAAAAAGAAGCCTCACAGCTGGAGGATGGGCGTGCTTCATCAGCTCCTGAAGGAGGCTGCGACTTTAAGTGGCGCCTTTGGCTTTCCCTACCCAGAATGTGGCCCTGCTTCAGGGGGCCTTGAAAAACAAGGTTGAGGGTGCTACTTGGGCCTAGGTGGCTCGCCCTTAAGCCCCAAGCTCGTCCAGCTCTGCGTTTAAACCTCAACTGCAGGGCTGTTCTGCAATGGGGGCTGTCTTTAAATGAGGAATCTTCTTTCTGCTGGGAGGAAAGCGCTCATCGGCGCGAGCGGCACCAGGCTTTGGTGGAGGCACCTCCGATTTCGTCGTTTTGAGTTGTAGGCACCGAAATACAGCTTGCTGGAAATGGTTGCCGACATCCGACCAAAATCCCTAAACTACACGTGGAAACCGTTTGGGTTGTAGAGGCCTTAAGTTTAGTTGGATCGACTTAGCGTGTACAGTCCTCAGCGGGGGTTGGCTTGCGATGAGCAGAACTCGCTTCTGGCAGCTTCCAGGCCCCAGGCCATGCAAAGAGCAAACCGCACCCAAGACACGAGGTGTAGGTTTTGTGATGGCTACTCCACGGCATTGGATGTCAGGGACCTTAATCCAGCCCTTAGCACTATACCCACTACAATCCCTACCCAGATGATTTATTACAAAATATCCACATGTGTCTATGGTTCAGAATGGAATATTTGTTCTTGAAAATCGCCCAAACGAGGCCCCAAACTTACAAAGCTGCGTGCGCTTCTGCCGGCGCGGCTGCCAAAGAACCCTAAAACCTAGACCCTCTAAGCCCAAGAGCCTCAACCCTAAACCCCAAAGAAGGGGGCGGGGAGACTCTGTGGGCCATGGCGCAAGCGCACACTGAAGTGGTTGTCTTCGATGGGGAGGAGTTCCGCTGCTTGGCGGCCTCGTTTGGCTTTGGAAGGTTATTAGGGGACCTTGAGGCCCAGATCCGGGTTCAGAACGGTCTGACAGTGTTCTTAGTCTTGCTCAGGAATCTCACCGCAGGAAGTCCGCGGCTACCTGCTGATGCCGCCTTGGCTGGGCCGCGGTGGCGGCAGCAGAAGCACGGTTTCTGCGAGGGTCAGGGATGAGAGCAAGTTTGCCATACAAAGTAAACCTCGAACGTATCTAGCCTTTGGCATACGCAGGACCATAATGGCCCTCAGACGGCGCAGCAGCCTGTCTAACCTCTGTTGTTGCCTGATATCCTGCGCTAGAAGCCCAACCACGCTGTGTGGTAGGATTTACTCGGAGAGGAGCCTGGGTTGAAGAAAGGATTCACTGGGTCCCGTGATGATACCCTCTGTCACGTTCTAGCGGGATTAGGCTCGCTTGCAAACCACTGGGACAAGGGTGCGCTTTGTCTTCGCATGCGACAGTACGTCAAGTTTGAGGTCTGTCAAGCTTCAGGTGTGTGTGTGTGTGTGTGTGTGTGCGCGTGTGGGGGTTTCCTAGGAGCTTGTAAAGGGCATGGTGTTAAGTGCGCTAAGGGCCCTCCAGACGCATGACCCCCCAACCCTACACCTACTTGTAGGTTATCGTCGCATGTACCCTCGTCCGAGTCATGAGTAGGGTTGCTGCATCCATGAACCTTCTAGAAAACCACACTTTGAGGTCGAGTCCCTGAAGCCCTGAACTACCCTCTCAGCGATGCAGGAGTGAAGAACAATCTTCTCACTAAGCCCTACAAACCCTCAACTCCATAAGCCCTAAACCCTAAACCCCCAAAAACCCTAAACCCCCAAAAACCCTAAACCCCCAAAAACCCCAAACACCCAAAAACCCTAAACCCGAAACCCCCAAAAACCCTAAACCCCAAACCCTAAGCCACAAAAACCCCCAAGTCCCAGGTCTTGGGCTCGCAGGAGGCCTAGGCTGCGGACTTGTCCGGCTCTGGCCGGGCGGCGGCTTCCCGGCCGCCTGCCCAATAAGGGCCAAGACCTGACGGCTTATAATAATAATAATAATAAATAATAATAATAATAATAATAATAATAATAATAATAATAATAATAATAATAATAATAATAATAATAATAATAATAATAATAATAATAATAATAATAATAGTACAATAGTGATACTAATGGGAATCATAGTGATAGTCTCAATAATAATCTTAGTACTGACTCCAAAAAAATCAGAAGAATATTAAGAATGAACAATAATACTCCTAATAATGATACCAATAACAATGATAGTAATAACAGTAATATTAGAGTCTGGAGCAGAGTGGCTTCACACCTGCGAACCCCTAACCCCTTTGATTCCCGAAGTTGTGAGCCCTCAACCCCAGTTCATGGGTTGTTCTACTTGGGACAACTGTTGATATAGGTTATAGCCTCATTTGGGGTAGACTAAAAACCGGCTTTGGACTAGTTGCCCATGGACCTTCAAGCAGACTCTAGACGCAAAATGCTAAGTTCGAAACCCTGCACCCTGAAAGCCGTTTCGTGTTGAGGGTTTGCGCCCAAGAAACCCTGAAGCCACCCAGGGTCAATATTTCTCAATTTTTGAATCCTAAACCCTACACCCTAAACCCTACACCCTAAGCTGCGAACCCAGAACCTTGCCAGGCGCCTGATTGTGGGTTCCCCCAAGCCCTCCAAGGGTTTCACCGAGGCCTCGGGGCCCTCGTGGCTCTCAGCCCGTTCACTGGCCCTCCTGGGAAGTGCGGCCCTGGCAGCCACCGTCTTCAGGGACCGGGTTGGGGGGTTTCAGGGTTTTGGGGGGGGGGGGGTATGCTGTAGTGTGGGGTTTAGGGTTCAGGGTTCTCAGAAGTTGCATGTGTGCCGGCGGCCTCAAAGTCTGTTGCTCAAAAGAAGGGTTTTGGTGGGTTGTGGCAGTGTATAGCATGGGGTGTAGAGGGTGTATCGGGTGTGTGGGTGTATGTGCACCGGCACTTGCCGTCCCTCCCGCATGGTATCCCCCCCCCCTCCCCCCTCCCCTCCCCCCGCTCTCCCGTGGTCCTTGGCGGGTTTAGGGTTTAGGGTTTCTCGGGTTTAGAGTCAGGGTCTTGGGGCTTAGTGGGGTTTAGTTTAGGGTGGCTCGAGGGTTGAGGGTTTTCCCTCATGGGTCAGAGTTAGGGTTAGGCTTTAGGGTCCAGGGTTGGGTTGAGTTGAGGGTTTAAGGGTTGAGGGTTCAGGGTTTCCTCTCTCCACAACCTGTGGTTCGTGGTGGGTTACTTGCTTTAAGTGCCCATGATCCTGCAAGTAGGGTTTGTTGTTTACTAGATTCGGGTCTTGGCCCCTATCTAACCCGCCTAGCAAGAACCACTCTAAGCCCTAGATTCTCAAGGGAAACGGTGGTTCGCATGTCGAGCTTTCCGAATCGCAGGTGTGCTGGAGTACTCCAGGAAGCTCAGTGTTGAATTAAGTCTGTTCCGCAATTAAGAGGTTTTGTGGCCATCTATGTGGCATTTTTGCGTTCTGGGGTAAAGGTTTAGGCTTTGGATTTAGGGTTCGGCTACTGTTCGGATTGGAGTTTGTGGGCTGACGTCAGAGTTTTCCTTTTTCGTGCAAGCTGTGTGAAAATAAGTGTGGTCAGACCACTGGTCTGCATGAACGGTTAAACTGCACCCTCATGACCCTCAGCCATTAACACTCAAAGTTCGTTCAGTCTGAGTGCTCCTAGATGACTGCAAGGCAGCTGGCAGCCCGTGGTCTTCCACTTACACTCCATACACCGCAGCTACCACAACGCAATAGACTTGGCGTTGATCTGAACATCATAAGGAATACTGAAGTCAGAGCTGGCAACTTGGAAGCCCGACGCCAAAGGAAAAATCTACGTGTGCATGGCAGAGGTCGCGCTGCACTGCAGGGTGAGAGCGCAAATCTGCTAGCGACAGTGGGGGCTGCAACCACAGCTGCTTCGCTAGAGGGAACTCGACTAGGAGCAGCCGTGGGTGGGACGCTGCTTGCCTTCACACTCCGCGCCGTCCTTGCAGAGGCTTGTCCACTTCTTCGAGCTAGTACTTGGGGTGGAGGGCCAGTAGACTCTTTCCTTCCTGTGGCCTTGGTGCTCACCATCATAGCCTCGCGCAGCATGTCTGGCCAAGAGCGACTTTCGAAAGATGCTGGCTGCGCCTTGCTCAGAGTGCTTGTGGCTTTTCTCTTTGGTACAGTGGGCTCCATCTTGGGCAGTGCGAGTGCATTCGGATTGCACCGATGGCTTGGCATTTCAGCAGCAGAGGCTGCAAAGGCTGCTGGTTGCCTCGCTGCAACCTATGTTGGAGGATGCATCAATTTTGTGGCCACGGCGCGCGCGGTGGGGCTTGAAGCTGCGGCGTTTGGCGCCCTGTCAGCTGCCGATATTCTGCTCATGGGTGCCTACTTTGCAGTGCTTGCTGCGCTGTACCGCAGTGGAAGTGCGGCACAGAAGTCAACTGCAAGTGTTAGCATCGATGAGAGAAGTGACCAGAACCTGGGGGTGGCAAGGGCCGCAGCGATTGCTGCAGCACTGGTTGCCCTCTCAACAACACTGGCCCAGCCGCTGCATCGCTTGCTCAGCTGGTTGCCTGGGGCGGAGACGCTTGCAGTGACACTTTCGTCATGGATGGTTGCTTCACTGGCGAGCAAGCGCCCTGATATTGCAAAGCCGGTAGCAGAAATGAGTGGGAAGGCTGCCGCATGGTTCATGTTGGCGTTCTTTGCATCAATTGGGGCTGAAGCGAGAGTCCGTGCCTTGACCAATAGCCTAGGTCTCACTCTGCTCGCGGCTGTTGTGCTCTGCGTGCACGGTGCTGTGCTGACCTTCTCTGTCCTGCTCTGGAATGCAGCGACTCCCAGGCGTTGGCAAATCAGCTTGCCTGAGGCATTGGTGGCTTCTAACGCAAACATTGGAGGCCCTGCCACAGCGGCCGCATGCGCCGGCATCACATTCCGCAGGGTTGACCTTGTGTTTCCAGCTACGGTCGCGGGCATCACTGGCTACGGTGTTGCAACAACACTTGGAGTGCTTCTCTCACAGGGGCTGTCGTAGTATGTCCGCGTCCATCTTCTCTTGCATTTTCGTGGCAGGCTCAGTGTCGTAGTGTCATCACTGTCGCGGGTGCAGAAAGCTCACCAGAGCAGTTCTGAGAGTGCTCTGAGAAGTGAAAAAAAGTGCGAGCCATGATCACATATGGCTTGGACGCCTTTGATGAGGAGTTGCAGCTGTCAAGTTGGGACTTGTGCTCAATGACATGGTCCCTTTCTAGTATCGACATGTAAAGAATGGTAAAGACGGAGCCTTACACTGAGGATGCCCAAAGGCGGAACCATAACTTAGAGAACTGCACATCCCTTTGTCATTG